CTGATACAGAGCATTACTGTGAGAAATAACTGGACAGAGCCAAATGGATGCTAGCTGACCTGAATGACTGTGCTCTGTGGTGCCTATGAGACATATTTGGCAGGTGGAACACAAATTCTAACACTTGAGCAAGCACTCAAACGGATAAAGGGAGACTAAAGGGAGGGGAGGGAGAAGAAAAAAAAAAAGCTAAAAGCCCTCCATCACTTCGATAAAGACACGGGTACCCCTCAACACAGCGCGCGTGCATCTCTAAATAACGAAGAACGACTGGGCTGACAAAATCATTTTGACAGCCAGTTCACATGTAACATCCCAGCCTCCTCTGCCGTGGGGAGTTGCCTACGGAGACAGGGCTCCATCGCCGGGGGTAACCAGGCGGCACGCGGGCCTGCAGAGAGTGGACCCTTCCGTGCCTGAGAGTGGAGACATGTGGTGGTGTATTGATCCCAGCCAGACACGGTGTCTCTCTCGTCCAACGACAGGCCTCACGTTAAGGTCCCCACTCTGTACGTATTGATTGGGAACACAGGCGACACTGGTAATTGCCATCAAAATGCCGATTTACAAAAGGGCAAGCAGGCTTCAGCAATAGTGCTGGTGTGGAAGTATAGATCTGCTATTTCCTCTCCCTGTGGTCCCACCGTGCGTGCAACCAACACGCTGTGTTCAGGCAAGGCCGAGGCCTACCTGGACTCCAGTTCTGGAATTCAGTGTGCACGTTTTATTCAAGCTTTTAAACAGGCATGTTACAGTAGAGGTGTACCTAGGCCTGTCACAATTATTACATAATAACCTGATCGCAATTATTTGAGGTGATGGCAATTATTTAAGCTGACTGCAATCGTCTTCCCTAGTCATTAGATTTCAGTCATATTATGCTGCAACAAGCAGAATGTGAATTGGATGTGCTGGGTTGAGGAAAATAAATATAAATAAAAGAAAGCACTAAAGTCATTCATTGAGACACACTTTGAAATTTCAAATGTGGTGAAGATAGTGTGAGTAATGTCTGATTATCTGTTAGTAAATATAGGTAGGAATCAAGATGGCTAATTATTTAATTTGAGTAATGTCTGATTATCTGTTAGTAAATATAGGTAGGAATCAAGATGGCTAATTATTTAATTTGGCCAATTTAGGCTTGTACTATAATTGGTTTTGATTTTGATACCGTTACTGAGTTTGATCATCTGATATTCTCATGATATTCAGAAGATTTAAATGAAGAAACATGATGATTGAATCTCTGTCACTGCACAACCTACAAATGAAACTTAGGCTGGGAGATGGTAGACTTGAACCCGGGATTGTACCATAATACATTCTGATATTACTATCAACATTGAAACCTTAAGTCAAGGGTGTCCAATCTTATCCACAAAGGGCTGGTGTGGCTGCAGGTTTTCATTTCGACAAAGCAGGAGATCACCTGATCAGCAGTTTGAAGACTGAAACCAACTGATTAAACAAGTGGAATCAGGTGAGCTTCAGTCTGTTTTGAGTGAAAACCAGAAACCGCACCAACCCTTTGTGGATAAGATTGGACACCCTTGCCTTAAGTACTAGCAAATACTCATACAGATCAGGTAGAGGTGGACAAAATTGATATGATAACTTCAACAAGTTTTCACAATACTTGATATGAATTTTTCTGACATCTGATAAGTTGGCACAGACAGAGTAGTGCCACGTTTAAAAAATATAATGATTGGTACCCAAATTTTCACATACTGAGTTGCACTAAATCCAGTTAAACAGGACTAATTGTGCTCTGACTGTAATTAAACAAGCAGTTACGAAGTACTGACAATATCCACAATATGCTTGGAAAAGCATACTGTGACATATTGTGACATCATTTATTATGTTAATGATAAATACTGTCATATTGCCCAGCCCTATGATCTGGTAGTTCTACTTTAAAAACTACTACATTTTACAATTAGTTTAATTGAAGCACTTGACTTAAGATGAGAATCTATCCACATACACACTCTGCTACCCCACAAAAGAAATACATAGCTAACAACATCACATCAGAAAATATGCATGTGCTATTTCAGGCTAGATTTGTTACAGGATTTATTTAGATTCTAGCTCTTTTGCTTTTCAGTATCAATTCTAGCATTTTCTTCTGACAGCCATCAATACTAATAATCCATCTCTACAAATTACATATTTATAGACATTACAGAGAAAAACATTTCTCTATATCCTATAATACAATCCTACCACACTATTAAATATCATCCAGTTTCATTAACATTGTGACTTATTATTTACAAACAGCAACAAACAGCAATCAAGACGACTAGTTTATGTTATGTTCTGTATTATATTAACAGACCATCCATCAAAGGCCGAGAGAAATCAGAGTAGCATTTTATCCATACTGAGAGCAGTGAAATTTTGAAAATCAAATGCAGTTTAGCAGCAGGCAGAGCGACTAAAGCTAACAGGGAGCCTCAGGGGAGAGAGCTTTAAACATCACAGTTTTTCTTGACATGCCAACTGGGGCCTGGGGAGGGTTTGTGGCAGACAACTTCAGCTCGAGAGTAATTCTCTTAGGATTCCAGGGGCCACTCCGGTGCTCAAAAATGGGTGAGAGTAAACAGTCTTCTGAGCACACAATTTTATAGATAAACAGAGAAAAAGGCAGCACAATATGATGTTTCAAAGAGCATGTGAGTGCTGTGTTTATAAGGCCCACTGCATTAAAGTCACCCCACTAAACAACTTAAGTGAATCAAAGTACATTGCTCATCTCATTAACCACAAATTCACACAGAGGCACTTTAAACAAAGACTTTGATTATTAGAGACGAAGCAAAGACACTGTATGGCCATCATATGAATTAATATAATGAGTATCATTTGGATTCCTCTCTGAGGGCTAAGCTTAAAAGGTCAATGTGTCTGTCAGGTAGTCGGGTTACGGAGGTGTTGTCTTGTTGCTGGTGCCTATTAAAAAATACATGGTTATATGATAGCAGTGACCTGAGGCAGGCTCACTACTTAGCTCATGCCTTTAGCAAAGTCTACACAGAACAATGACCAGCTGGATCAGGTGAAGACTGCAGCAGTACACGCACACGCACACGCGCACACACACACACACACAAACACACATACATAGCACTGTGCAAAAGTCAGAGACCACCCTTCATGTATTTAATTTCTAGTCAAACTGCCATTAAGTACAAGTTCTTCATTTGTCCTCATCAGGGAAAAAGTATAAAACATGTATTTAACAAAAAAACACAGAAACCTCAGCAACTATATATAATATCAAACGTTTAATTATTCAGTGTGTCCACTCCTAGCCTTTATTACGGCTTCTCTTTTTTTCCAGAGATATGCTTTATTTTTTCAAAGCAATCTGCGAATTTTTTAGACACATTCAAAGTTCAGTCTTAAAAGTTGATTATATTTTTTGCTTTGCACAATCCAAGTAATCCCAAACACATTCAATGATGTTCAGGTGGACGGTCTATTGTTCTGAAAACACCAGCAACTTCTTTGTTTGACTCTAAAATGTTCTCTTTTTTTGTCCTGTCTACGGTTGTTAGTCCCATTTTCTCTATATCTTTCAATAATTTTTTATACTCCAGTTTTAAAAACTGCCGTTTTTTCACGTCCTTTTTTTTTTTTACTTTCCCCTTCCTTATACAACCGGATTAAATTAAATCAAATCTATTCTGAAATATTATATTAATAATTAATAACTTGCATCAAATTGTCTTTTACACTGGAAAGAAAATTAATGAAAAGTGGTCCGACTTTTGCATAATCCTGTAAAACCAAGTCTAGGATGATAGTAGCAGAACCTTTGTTGTAACTGAGAAAGTATGATTTTATATGTCTGCGATAAGAAACATTCCTGATCAGGCTAATGCAGCTTACTGAAATCACATTTTTATTGTCAAACGTAAATCATCCAGTTTACTTGTTCCAAATATGTGAACAATTCACACTCAATTCTAACAACGCAGAAACAACAAGAGAAACCTCAAACAACTGACACCACCAACCCTCACAGGTCTGTCAGCATCATCTGTGAGACAGTCATCTCTTTTCTTACCCTCAATAAACAGGACAAGCCACTGTCAAAACACTGAATCAGCAGTCTCCAATTAACCAGGAGCAAATCTGTGGCAGACATGCGACCTTCCATAAGCTGTATTTGCACTATGCCTTTTGTGGAAGCCTTTCATCACACAGCAATAGACAGAGCAAACCATGCAACCAGCTGCAGGTTAAATCCTAGAGCTCAAACCTGGTTCTCCTCCATTCAGCTGAAATCAGGGTCTTCTATCCAAATACGTAACAGGAAGTCAAACACATGGCCCCTATCCAGTTTCATACATTGGAGAAATGTTGGATTAAGGCTTTGTGATAATAGACTCACACACATATGCTCTGTACCCAAGCAATCTCAGATGTCTTTTCATTATTTCCATGGCATGACATGTTTAAATAACCACTGGTTCCATATGAGAGCAATCTGTCTGAGGGGCAATTATGAGTCCTCTGTATGATCAGTAATGCTATCAGGTATTGTGTCTACATTAGTTTAGTTATGCCAAAACAGCCAAACAGTAGATGTAGTTTATGAATAAACATATAAATCTGTGTGGATTTAAAGAATAGTAAACTAGTTAGCACAAGACTATTTGGGTTCAAGTTATTCTGCTCTAGAGTGTTCGCGAAATACGCATCCCGTCTGAGTCCATGTCAGATTGCTCTGGTGTAATCCTATTAGCACTCACTCAGTCACAGTGCTTACTAAGAGGTTTACAAAGGTCTCCTGTCAGATCATTCCATGCTGGTGTCCTTTCATATACTTCAGTCTCAACAATACACCAAGCTACACTATTCTTTTGTGTATATATTATTGCAAATGGCTCTCTGATCCTGAACAAGGAAGGCTACCAAGTAATCCAGACCTGATTGAGGCTATTTCTGTGGGCACACTGTGGCAGGACTGATACTTGACAATGGCGACAAATCAACTGGATGACGTAATTCAAAGATGGGTGAGTAATCAGGAACTCATCTAAACACATGAAATAGCACTGAAACCAGTAGTAGTATGTAGATGTAAGAAAGTGTCCCTGTTCATATGCATTAGTAGATACATGAAGTCAACTTTTATCCTTCAGATTTGAATCATACAATGTTTTAGCATATGCTAATTGCTATGACTGGAAAGAAATGTAATGCATAGTCCCACAAATGGCGCTAAAACACTATGACTGGATGGGAAAAACTGAAAACTAAATACTAAACTAAATACTCTGAAATAGTAAAATACATTTACATATTTAACATTTTAACTTTTTAGAGAACGACCAAAGAAAAAGATCTGAAACCAGAAGATCATGAACTCTTTCTGAACATTGGTGGTACCTGCATTGCTCAAGGTGACACCACACAATTGCTGGACTTCATTAAAGAGGAGAAAAATCAGGTAGACGTATTTGCACATGCTGTTTTAAAAGCAATGCTGACTTAATCTTTCTTTGTTCCTTTACCTGTTAGATACTGAGAAGCTCATATCTTTTGTACTTAAAATCAAAATCTGTTGTTTTATTTCATGCCTCCCAGTACTTTACTGCTCCATTACAACAAGCTTGTTAGGGAAATATGACAGAACAAACAATAAAGTAGCTTCCCAGTTTCAGGTCCCATAGCCATCAGTTAACACACAGTTAGAACATGGTTACAACTGAGGCTCATTTGTGTGACATCATTCTATCCACAGGGGATGGTGGAGCTCTTTGAACTGTCCCTACAACCATCACTTTGCTCTAATTCTTGACTGACCGGCCTCTTCACCCTTGGGTGTGGGAATGTTTGGTGGAAAATCAGTCAGATTTCTCGCTCCACTGCAAACCCTCTGTAGCAGCGCTCCATTAAGTGCCCTTGCTTCTCCCGTTCCTTGCACTGCTCCCCTCTTTCATGCATACAGAGTCTCAGGAGCATGTAGACAGCGTTCATCTCAAACCAGAGCTTAAAAGTCCACTAAATGGATCAGAGTCTGGAAAGTCTGATTTCAAAATGTGAAATCAGGGTCCACTAGATAGAAATTTAGTAATACCAATGAATAGGAATCATGGGAACCAAGGCAATCAAGACAAAGAGAAGTGTGTGCGTATCTCCTGAAATTTCAAAACATGATGGATACTTTTCATTTTCCAGGGCATAGTGAAGTCTATGGGTTGTGGCCTCCTAAGACCTCTGATTAAAGATGTAGTGGGAAAGGAGAGGGATCCTGTGCACTGTGAGGCCATTATCACCCATTTGGTGCAGGTACGGAAATGAATCGAAAGATGATTTATAGTGATGTTTGGTTTGACAGCAGCACAAACTACTGAAATTTTGCTCTCTTCAGATCTGCAGGGCAAACGACCTGCTGGATGTTCTGCTTAGGGAAATGGAAGATGCTGACCCTGATGCTATTGCAGACACCATCATTCTTCTCATGCAGCATATTCAGCTAGGTACCTAAGCACCTGCTGTAGTTAAAACATTAGCACTGATAGGTAATGACAGCAAGGGTCTAACTGCAAGAAAACGATGCTTTGATTGTCCTAAACATTAGTATACTGTTTAGAAGTGAGCCTCACAAAAGCATCATAAGGTGACCCTTTCAAAATGACTTTAAAATTTTTTATCACCTTACAAAAATCCTAGCACTTCTGGCCCAAAGGAGCATAAAGACATAACCTTTTCGTGATTAAATGCTTACCAACAAGGTACAACCTAAAGCTAATCTACAGTATCATTGCTCACATGTATGTGGTTCATAGGCATATCTAGGAATGATAGAATATGGCTCCCCCTGCTGACCACTAAAGTATCTCATATTTGACCCCATACAGTGCTGTCAAGGTTGGGTGATTCAAAGGCCCTCTCGCTGGGCCGGGCCCTGGCCGCTCTGCAGAAACAGATTTCTAAGCTGCCTGTACCATATTCGCGCAAACAGGAACAGGAAGACAAATATGGGCTCTGTCGCTGCTGCACTGCTCTGCTGACCTTTGTGCAACCATTTGTGCAGGAAGTCAAAAGTCAAGACACAAAAAGTCCAGTGACAACAAGCAATGATGAAGAACTGAGGACTGTGCTTCTCAAGTTGTAGGTTTTCATAACTTTGCTTAAATAACCAGTAATTACAATATCTAGAGTGCAAAGCAATAACAGCTTGGGAAATATCATTAATTTGCATACCAGTGCTACTTTTAGTCGTCATCCACTCTGAATGGCAGTAGCTACTAGTAATAACTCTGATGCAAACATTCATTCTTCCAAAGTTTGATTAAAACTTTGTACACAATTTGCTTGCAGCTGCATGCAGAGTCTGAGAGAACCTCTCCTTGAAGCTCAGCTCGACAGGGAGGCTGACACCACGCAAAACTCTCCCCTCAGGAACTTTGCCACAGAGATAATGGTAAACTATGATGTTAGGCACATCTCCTTTCCACAATCAGAAGCACTGTAACTCTGGTAAATGTGCATTCTACCTTTGTTCTTCTCATTCAAGGCCATTCTATCAGCAATCCAGGAGCCTCTGCCCAAACTGCTGTTCTACTATCCTTTGAGAGGGAAAGAAGATATGGGAGTTGGGAGACAAGACGACAGCCACCCAACTGAATCGAGGGCCTGCCTGGCTTACTTGCTATTTGTCCAGCTCATTGCTATGGAAGTGTTCCCTGCTGTCTTTAGGCAGGTTATATGAAGATTGAAAGTCCCAACAAAATGCAACAAGTCTCTTAGCAAAAATGTCTAAACTTCATTGATTGCTGGAGTATAGACCTTTAAAGTGCTGTTGTAAAATGAGTGTAGAAACTGTACAACAAAAAATCCCCTTAGAATGAGATATAAAGATTTACAAGCATATTTAGCTAAGCATTTGGCAGAACTGACACATATGAGCTAATTAATTAATGAGCTATATGCACTATTTTGGAGTTCTAATATTGAAATTCATGCAATTTTGTTTTCAGCCCCATTTTTGTCCTGCGGTGTAATATGGAATACATCAATATATTGTTGAGCAGGTATGCCAGTACTAAAAAGGGTATGTGGTATAATAATGATGGCTAACCTCACATTACATTTACTTCTTAATTTTGTCTGCTTTCTTTCTTGCAGAAAAGATGAATCCTGGATATTAAAAGGCTTGGTAAGAGGCATGACACCACAAATTATTCTTGCACATCTTACATCAACGATATTTAAAAACTCACCTTTGAACATTGAGAGTTGCAACAATGAATCTATTACATGGCTCAGCTGTGGTTATTTCTGTTTCTAAAGGACTTGTATGTCAAAAGCTTGGAAAGAGTTCTGGATAATAGCCTCCCAGTACAGCTTTTGGAGCTGAGACCCTTTTACAGTGTTCCACAGGTAAGATACATGGTCACTTTACCATTAGATAAAAAGCATAACTTATAAAAAGGCTTCTGAATATAGGCATAGGCTCATGCTGCACCGAATACCCTATGTTTGAATACATTAAAAAAAAATAGTTTCTATGACTATATATTCTTTATAATAAGTAACATTATGGGTATTTTTTTCAATGCAGATTTTAGTTAAAATCATGATTGAGTGTCCTATCCAGCATTTGGTAAGTGTAGAGGATTCATTACTAATTATTCTCATGAAATAAACTCCTTTATGTCAGAACACTAATTGGTTACATGACTATAATACTGCAATGATTCCTTCCTTGCCTTTGCAGAGAGTAAAAGCTCTTGTGGTATTCCAGCTTTTTATAGAGAAACTCAATGGGGAGGCCAAGCATAAATTTTTCAGGTATGTAGATTTTTGAAAGTATCTGCATCTCTTGTACATAGACTTAGTTTCATTTAAATGTTAAATTGATCTAATCTGAAACTCATTTACCATTTACTTAATATAGTATGTATTTACATTCTAATTTTTGTACATTTTTAGATGCATCATGAAAACCAGCCAACATGCAGGAGTGGAAAGCGTCATCCTCAAAAACATCAAGAATCAAGCGGAACATTCAAGCAAGGTCAGGCAAAACATTTTAGATTCTACATTATTTCTGAATTGTAAAAGTTTAGCAAGTCAGATTCATTGTTACACCATCTACATTGTACAAAACTAGATGAAAGCTGGATGCCATCTTGGATCTTCCTAAACTGTATAGATTTCATGATGATTAATCTTCTAATTAAATATTTGTAATGTACAACACTTAAAGACTAAATCCTATTTTATTTGCATACTATATATACTGGCTTGAAAAAACGTCAACTTGGTATCTTTGGGCTACTGTTTTTAGCGACAGTAGCAGGAAGAAGGAGAATAATTGTTTGTGTCTCTAACACTGCTGGAATTATGTCTCTAGTCGGAACACAGGGACGGCTGGTTTGAGGGTACATTACTGATATCACTTCTTAGGGACACTGTGAGTCTACCTCAAGGCCCAGAGACTGACTTATTGCATGGGATGGACAGGTGGGAAAGTTTGCTGTTTTCATTAAATGCAAGTCTTCATGAATTGTAGCTATTAACATTATGGTAATTTATTAAGATTGCAAATAGAGCGTCACTGAGTCGCCAGTCATGGCTTGTGATATATTGAGAATTATGTTTGGCTTAGAAATCTAGGAGATGGCTGCACACAAAGGGTTATTGTGAGGACTGAAATGTCTTTGTTGTTAGTGTCTGTGTTGTGTCTTCATACAGATGGTAAGTAATCACTTTCACCTTTTATACATCACACATCATACAGGTGTCTCCTTTATCAGTCACACAGAACCCCAAACAAATAAGCTACTGGAAGTTATAGTGCAATATTAGAATTACCAAATGGGTCTGAAGAGCAAACTTGGCAGTGCTGTTGACATGAAGAACCAGAATGGATATGCTCATCTGTAAAACCATCTAGACTAAATAAATTGTAACCTAAGCCTCAACACGCACTCTATGTATGCCACCTGTTTCTGTTCTAAATGAATGTTTTATTAACACGATATAATCCAGCCCTGACAATCATTTATTGATGAGTGTAGTTTAGTAAAATAGCCATGATCCTGCAACACAGAGCATATGGCAGGCAGGTCCATGCTTAAGGGCAGATCCTGTGTCATTCCTAAATAACACTAACCTGAGTGATTGACATACTCTGCTCTAGATAATCTGTCTCTGATTACTTACACCTTCTACCAGTGTTGGGCAACATAAACTGATTTAAAATTACTTGAAAGCTCTGACAACAACCACTAATCATCAAGCAGATTAATCTTTTTGACATATAATTTAACAAAATAGCTAATACTAAAAAATTTAAATATTATATTTAGTGGTTGATACTTCTGTGTATTTTGCAACTTCTGTGTATTTTGAAACTAAATTTATATTGAAATTTATATATCTTCTAGGGTCATGGAGTCTCTAAATCTTCTGAGATATCTACTAATCAAAGAGAGAACAAAATCTGTAAGACAATTACACACAAATACAGCAATAAAGACTACTGAATAAATTAAGCTCTGCTAATCTAATGATCAATCTTATTATTTTCAGACAGCAATATGGACAGACCTTTGTAACATTGCAAAGACCTACATAAAGATACTGCGCGTGTGTCTGAGCATGTCTAAATCATACTATGGCACTGAACTGAAGAGCCTTCATGAAGAAAAAAAGATCAAAGCAAAGGGTAAGAAAGTTTCATTCAACTTAAGTGCATCGTTTTAAAACAAAGCTGGTTCCACAGTTCATAGTTATATCTTTTCAATACTGCCTGATAAAAACGTTCTTATACTTATTTATATCGCTGCTGTCTGAAGAAAACCTTGTATCTCCATTTTTGTCATTTTTCAGTTTTTGACATAATTTGAAAATGCCCGTGGCTCTTTACATTGTGTGTTCATTTCATGAGGAATCAAATAAAAGAAAGAGTCCAAAATGACTTGGAAAAAAGTCTGGTTCCATTGACTTACATTAAAAGTAAAGTAGGTTTTTTCCTTCTCCTGTAAAGTTACCATTTTGAAGATACATTTTGGAGATTTTTCTTCCAACAACAGCAATATGTTATTCTCATGCTTATTTGTTTTTATCTATTCTAAACTTTTCATAGTAACAAGCAAGATGTTTTTTTTTATCCAAGTGCTTTTTTGATCCCTCAGAATTTAAAGAAATGTCAAAGAAGAAATCAATTCAACATATGATTGTGAAAAATGAAAGTCTAGGTGGAATGCCACCTGAGGCACAGGACAAGGTAAATTCACCTCTACTAATAGTATTAAAGTTAGCATGAATTGGAAATCGTAATGTATTTTCCTTCCATACTGTGATGTACAGCATTGTGCAAAAGTCCTGAGAAAACTGTATTGCACAAACTACTCATCCGGTCATTACATGTTTATTTATGCAGAAAAAACATTAATATTGCAATAAATACAAATAACACTGAAACAACGCTCTTATAAAGATGGTTCTTCAACCACTTGTACGCTTAAATAGTTCTTTGCATCATGAAATGGTTCTTCAGATAGATGAAGAATGCGATGTATATGGTTCTATTCATTATTCATTCATTCATCTTTTTAAACCGCTTGATCCAGCTAGGGTCACGGTAGCAATAGGGAAAGCAGAGAATCCCAGACGACCCTGTCCTCCGCAACTTCCTCCTGGTCATTCTGGGGGATCCTGAGCCGCTCTCAGGTCAATTCGAAGGTATAATCCCTCCAGTGGGTTCTAGAAGAAACTTGAGGTCTTGTCCCGGTCTGCCGTGCCTGGAAAACAGGAGGCGGCCAAGGGGCATCCTAATCAGATGCCCAAACCACCTTAACTGGCTCCTCTCGCTGTGGAGGAGTAGTGGCTCTACACCTTTAAAAAGATGGTGCTTCAAGGGCTTTTTAGTAAAGAAAATGGTGCTGTATAGAACCATGAACACTTTGCATGATTAAAGTTCAATTTGTCATCCACGCCTATAGCACAGTTGAACCAGGGGGGCGCTACAGAGGCAGAACTGACCACGATAAAAATGTTATTTTTACAGTTTGGAAAGATGCGTTCACATTTTAAGGCTGGTGTATATTATTATTACAGAACATTTCACGGATTTCAGCTATTAATGAAAAAAAGGTTTTAGGGTGTAGTTACTGAATTAAATCAGCTGCTGATTGTGAGAGTGGACAGATCAGTGTTTATAAGACATCACTTACTTTTTTGAAAATAAGAAATTCTTGTTACTTGTTTACATTCATTCTAAAGTTATATATAAAGACACATATATTGCCGAGATAAAAGGTTTTAAAAAGTTTGAAGTATGACTTTTGCACAGTACTGTATTTCCATATGAAATATGGTCTGAGGCAGGGTCTCTGAGCAAGCTGAACACTTCACTCGATAATCTGAGGGTGGGCGGAATGGGAAGTGATCCCTCCCTGCTGGTGCAAAACTGAAAATGTTTAAGAGGAGGACTGAACTTTGTACATTATAATAGAAAATTAGTGGAATACAAAAATTTTATTTTTAAATGATATGATGAATTGTGCTTAATATGATCAAAGACATGAACAAGGTAAAAATGAACGGTCAATTTTGATTTCAGGTTGATGTTACTGTAGTCTATTAGGTATTCACAAACTAACAGTGTTTAATATGCCTGAACACAGAAGAAATGACACAGAATTTTTCATTTGCAGGTACTACAGTGCGCACTTGTGACATATGACCTGATGGAGAGCCTTGTGGTCCGAATAGAGGAGATCACAGAAGAGAGAGTCTAACGTTAACATCCTTTCTTTCTTTTTTTTGGTTATATCTTGTCTAGTAAACTTGTAATGCTATGTTCTATTTTCATGCTACCTATGTATTTACACAAGATTTCCATTCTAAATTAACCTTGCACAATAATACGAGGCAAGCACTAACTGCCAAGAAAAAGCTCTGAATATTGACATTTGTAGGACTAGAAAGTCTCTGTAGTTGCTGTAATAAAAAGGTCTGCAGGTCGCAGCAATAAAAATCAAAGTGTGGCTGTACATTATACAAAAACACTCTCACTTTGGCTGATGGAGCTTCATGTTACCTAGTAACTCCCAAACTGGGCTGCGTTCAATGATGCGAGCTCGAGCTAAAGCCATTCGATCCCGTATACTGTCCACATGGGGCTTGCTGGTGGCCTGCAATGTACACATATGCCATGACTTTTCATAACCTATTTTATTTCTACTGCTCTATAGATTAACATTAGGTACTGCTGTATAAATAAACATTACAGAGAAATCATAATAAAGAATTAAGCCATATCAAATTGAACTCAAATTGAATGTGAGCAAACTGAACATGAAACTTACCTTAGCAATGGTCAGCACTGCCTTGACAATGTCAACATTACTATGGATGGGTAAAACCTTAAGGTTACTGCCAAAGAATCTAGCAGAAAAATCAAAATATGAGAAAAAAAATAACACGTGCAGTAACACTGCATCTTTCTTAGCAGTTTCAGCTACTATGCAACACTCTACACATCCTAAAAGGCTTGATAAAAATGCTGTAATACTTCAGCCTAGCTCAAAATTGTAAATCTAAAGAGGAATTTTTCACTTAATATGACAGAGTTTAAATTTATGGATTTATGCACCTCTTCTGCGCTGCAGACACAATCTCCCATTCCCTTGTTCCATAGACTGGGGACTGAAGCAGAAGAAAGCTGTTTCTGTGGACCTGTACAAACTTTTCAATCCGTTTAAAGAATTCTGTGTTCTCAGCCTGCTCTGGGAACTCCTCTGGGGTGATCAGCATGAACGCTGTCCCTGCAAAACACAGAGGTAAAGAGGTAAACTCTTGAGTACAAAGAACCAAGTCAATACAGAAGTGCAGAAGGAGTTTGCTTTTGGTCAGAAGAAAGTGTTTGACAACGGCAGTGTGTAACAAAACCAGGTTAGCCGCAGTACTTCTCCCACACAGGGAAGTCAGTTCAACAGTCTGAGTCACGACTAATAATGAATAGCAAAGACTTCAAGGGTCAAAAATCAGCCTCCACTCAGTGATGTTTCAGAGTTTATAACTCATGTTGAGTGCAGCATGGCCTAAGGGATATAAGATATAAGTGTCACTCTGTAGTTTCTCAGCAGACTCTGGCAATAAGGTTACCTGACAGGGGGAATACGAAAGAACCAATTTCAACACTGTCTGAATAGCGAAGTCTGTGTTGCTGTGCCAAGAGCATCTGCAAAGCTTCATTATTCTGTGAAGAGAGGGTGTCACACATAAAATGACTAAATGTTATAGTTTGTCGATGCCATACATGACTGCAGCTAACTTCTGAAACAGGATATTTTACCAGACCAGCACTGATTAATGGAGCCTCTGTCTCCTCTATTTAGTTTTACTGGAAGATATGGTAGTAATAGATACATACATAAGCAAACAAACAAACAAACAAATAAATAAATAAAAATAATAATCATAACACATGCTATCACTGACAGACCCAAACTCAATGCCAAATTTTAAACATTTCCCCTCTGGAGGTTTAGACTTGTAATTCTTGAGTGGTCCTGTTTCAAACTATTGACTTAGCATTAGCCTACTGAAGCATGAACACGCTTATGGAAATACTTCAATATCAAACAGGATTTAATATTTCTATGCTATACGGGGTATTACTACATAATAGCAATGTAAAATTGTAATTAATAGTAATAATCAAAACATTTCAGTAAAGGAAGGGAACCTAGCTTAGTTAACTGTTAGCTAGAGAAGTTAACAGGCGCCGCTAATAGCTAAGTATATCGGCCCTTATGGGGTTAAAACTACAAACAGAGCCAACGTTAGTCATTTTAGTCACCTGGAGCGAAGCACTGACAATAACAGTCGTTTTCCATGAAGTCATTATGTTCTTGCTTGAGGTGTAAACTCCTCAAAGACAAAACAAAAGCAGACAAAAACAGATTAGCTGATGTGAACGGCTGTAGTGGTGAGTACGGCAGCGCGCGCTGCTTTACACACACAGTTTAATCAGGAGCGCGCGCTGCCGTACTCACCACTACAGCCGTTCACATCAGCTAATCTGTTTTTGTGATTAAACAGCTCCTGATTAAACTGTGTGTGTAAAGCAGCGCGCGCTCCTGATTAAACCGTGTGTACAGCTGGCAAAATTTCTTTTCTTAGGATACGAAGGGGAAAGCACATTAATATTAATTAACCTCCTCACACAACGCCGTCTAATTGGCCGAGCAAAACTTTGTGTGACAGAGTCGCAGTCACACCACCACGACTTTATTTTAGTTTCATAATCACATCCAAACAATATACTGCGAAAATGACGCTGAAAACATATTTAATATGCACCAAAGCCTGCAAGCAGACTAAATAAAGACCAATAAAGGCTACTAAGCAATAGTGATAGGTAACTGTGTGACCATTGGGATAATACTACTTGGCATTTTGTTTTGTTAGCGCCAACCTAAGGCCAGTGCACATTCACTTTTCACAGTAGGCAGTTGTACCCTAAACACTTACATCTTAAGTTCTTTATTTTTCCTGCTGTTTTCTACTAATAATGTTAAATTAGAAATTAATTTCTGCATAATATAAAAACTGTGAAATATAAAATTTAGCTAAAATATTATCTAACTGTTAACAGATGCCTGTACTAAAGCTTACTAAAGGAGACTTCCTGCAAAATTTAATCATTAATATGTGAACATTATGCTGAGTGGTTTGACATAAAATGCTCCATTGTACATAAACACACAGTAGTGGTTATAGGAACCAGACATCTGAGGAGTTTAACAGCTGCTTCCTCACAAAGTTATTACGTTTATGTTTATGAATATGTTTCTGTGCTGTCTGATGTGTGAGACATTGTTTTACTGAAGTTTTGAGATGGGTTTGGCTTAAAAAATTATTTATAGTCATGATGAAAAGGTACATGCAAAACAGTACTCATTTTTAATTTACCACTATTTAAAAATAATTAGTGTTATATGTAGGTTTGCTGGTGGTTTTAGATAGTGAATAAAACATTGTGACCCCTGGTTCTTGTATGTTCATCACCACTGCAAAGAAATGTGAGTCAGCATGTTTCTCTATCATGCACTTATGTCTCTTGAACTTTCACCAAGAGTGACTCATTAACTCATTAATATTGCTCTTTCCAGGGCATACCAGTACTTGCAGTAGTTTCATTTCCAATGTGTCTTAAACTTTCAATCAAATAATGTGGTAAATTTTCAATCAAAATATCCTGTTACTACTGTAGAGGAGATATGGGGTGAGGGGGTCAGGGGGTGGTCAGCACTACCTCAGGTCATGAACACACCTGGTTTTGGTGACCTATCTAAGGATGACTAAAACAAAAAGGCTACCACAAGAGAGCTCCTCCAGGAAACTTGTATACATTAAGGTGTCCTAATGTCACTAAGGGAGCAGTACACTCAGCTCAGTGTAGCATTTTTTTATAATTTCAAGAAATATTATTATTAGACAGTTAAAATGAAAGATTGTAGATGGCAACTTTATGTTACTTATAGTTATGGACACAACTAAGGAAATATGATGGGATGGATCCCTTTTGACCACAATGATATCCGATTACAAAAAGTGCAGCAATTTAAACGGTGTTGATGTTTCAAAAGGTGAGGCAGCAGATCTTGAGCACTGGGAAACTGCCAGCAAGTAAAATTCCTTTTGGTGACATCACTGAAGTGGAGCGTCAGCACACAGGCACTTTGATGAATTCAAGTAAGGCATCACTGCCTGCTATTGTAGACGACAGTACATTGGCCTTGAATGTTGATAATGAGGCTATGAGGTCAGAACTTTGTTTTACATGACAGGAGTAGCAGTTACAATAACATTATGTAGATCATGTAAGATACCACACAAAACACGTCTTGCTATGCATGGGCAAGAATAAGTAATAATAATAATAATATTAATAATAATAATAATAATTAGTTCAATTTAAATAGTTCCTTTCACAAAGCCAAGTATATATCAACTATGTACAAGATTACAGAATGACAAGTAACTCAAAAAACTTAAAGAAACTCAATGAAATGCTGCTTAATTGCTGCAATTAAAAGCTAAACATATTGAATTTAATTCTGTTTGCCTTTTCACTGTATAGTTGTTTAATATATGTTTAGAGAAAGCTTGAGAAGGCAAAGTGTTTAGGGATTTCTTCTTGAAGTTGGAGTCAGGTGTCTGGGTGTACTGTACTGTTTAATTTTTCTCCTTGGTGTTAAGTCAGCATGTTGCAAGAGGCTTTCTTCATTTCCGTGCAGTACTCAGAGGAACTGTTTTTCTTTTGTGTGATTTGGTCATTTTTCCAAATTAAAGCTGTTACAACTAAACAACGCAACACACTTTTCTGAAAGGTTGAGGTCTATATCCTGTCCTGGAGAATGCCTCTTGTTGTTTACTGCTTTAACAAATCAATCATTAATCATAAATAAATCAAACATAAATAATAAAGCAATCAATAACATGGCATATTTTACATAAGCCTAATGAAAATTACTCTCCCTGCTTTCCAAAAAACCTGACAGCCTATGCTTTTGCTTCTACTCTTTCCAAAGTCTGTGCACATCACTGGGTCCACTATCGTTCTGCTACATGTAGTATATTGGAGTAGTTCTGTGTCTGTTGAAATATAACAAACAAAATCTACAACCCCACAAATTGGAACGCTTGCAATGCAATCATTTTAACCCTAAATTTAATTGAAATGCTTCAAAGACAAAATATCAGATGTTGAAACTGAGAAATGTTATTGTTTTTTGAAAAATATATGCCTATTTTGAATTTGATGCCAGCAATATGTTCCAAAAAAGCTGGGACGGGGCAACAAAACGCCAGTAAAGTTGTGTAATGCTTAAAAAAACAACTGATGGTTAATTGGCAACAGGTCAATAAAATGATTGGGTATAAAAAAGCATCCCAGAGAGGCTGAGTCTTTCAGAAGTAAATATGAGGAGGGTTCACCACTCTGTGAAAGACTGCATGATTAAATAGTGGAACAATTCAAGAATAATGTTTCTCAACATAAAATAGCAAAGAACTTTTGCTTTTCATCATGTACGGTAAATAATAACATTAAAAGATTCAGAGAATCTGGAGAAATCTCTGTATGCAAGGGACAAGACCAAAAACCAATATTTGCTGGCCATGGTCTTTGGGCCCACAGATGGCACTGCATTAAAAACAAACATGATTCTGTAGTGGACATCACTGCATGGGCTCAGGAACACTTGTGAAAAACACTGTCTATTAAAACAGTTTGGTGCTGCATCCACAAATGCTAATTAAAACTCTGAAATGCAAAAAGGAAACCATATATAAACAGGACCCAGAAACGCTGCCACCTTCTCTGGGCGTGACCTCATTTAAAATGGACTGAGGAGAAGTGGAAAAGTGTCCTGTCGTCCAACAAAATCAACATTTGAAATTCTTTTTGGAAATCATGGACACTGTGTCCTCTGGGCTGAAGACCACTTAGCTTGTTATCAGTGCACAGTTCAAAAGCCAGTATTCATGATGGTATAGGGGTACATTAGTACGCATGGCATGGGTGACTGGCACATCATTGAAGGCACCTTTAACGCTGAACGATATATACATATTTTGGCAACATATGCTGCCATCCAGACAACGTCTTTTTCAGGGAAGGCCTTGCTTATTTGAGCAAGACAATGTCAAACCACATATTGCATGTATTAAAGCAGCATTGCTCCATATTAAAAACATCTGGGTGCTAAACTAGCCTACCTGCAGTCCCGACCTGCCACCACTGAAAACATCTGGCACATTATAAAATGAAAAATACGACAAAGGAGACCCCAAACTGTTCAGCAGCTGAAATCCTATATTAAGCAAAAATGGGAAAACATTTCTCTTTCAAAACTACTGTAATTGGTCTTCTCAGTTCCCAAACGCTTGAAGAGTGTTGTTAAAAGAAGTGATGAAACACAGTGATAAACATGCCCTCGTCCCAACTTTTTGGAACGTGTTGTTGGCATCAAATTAAAAATGGGCATATATTTTTCAAAAAACAATAAAATTTCTCAGTTTCAATATTTGATTTGTTGTCTTCATTTATTATTTTTACAAGCCTACTTCACACTGAAATCCATAACCTGTGTTCAATTAAACAATATTGGCAAAAAATTTAAGCCTCGCCTGAAGTGTCTTAATTATCTTAGCGGAAGGTATATGAGCCTATGGAATACTAAAAATCAGAGACTTTTATCCTTGCCTCATACCCCGGCTAAATCATGTATGTAACAGGTTTAGTGGCAGATATGAGGTTTCTAAATGATACAGCAATTGTGTTTAAAATGTCAGTAATGCAGTGCAAGAAATACATTGCAATAGAGTTGAGGAACCCACGTCAGTCATTCAGGTTTAAAACCATGTTAAAACCTAAACTTCAGATAAGCTAATAATAGTGTAGTGATAATGTCCAGTAGTCAAAAGTTTGAATAAAGAGAAGTTTGGACGATTTTAGTGAGGAGAGCATGTTTCAGTTTTTCATTTCAGTTTACTGTGACTCGGGACAATGGCTCCATCTGGCGCTGAACGAGGAAGTTTCACATTTACGTAGTGATTTTGTAGGTAATTTAGTAACTTGTCAATTTGCTGTTTTTTTATTTTTTAAATCTGTATCCACGACTTTATGTCCAGGAAGCGGAGGCTATTCGTCTTGTTATGGCTGATCAGAGGTTCGTTATTCATTATGTTCAACTCTTCTTTGTTTACTAAGATACAAGTAGTTTAACCTTTAGCTACATTCAATGGTTATAACTATATTGAGAAAAAATGTTGCCACATGGTTTTAAGGTCAGTGCTGGAAATAGGATATTTTGTTTTCTGACCAAAAATAATACGTATAATGTCACATTATACAAAAGAAAAAAAATCCTAATTTAATATGATTTCTATTTCTTGCATATTCATGAAACAAGTATGAAATTATGGATAATTTTGTTTTTAAAAAAACTTGCTGTGATGTTTTTAATATACTTGCTTATAATAATAAAAAGTTGATAATAGATGTTAAAATAGTAAAAATAAAAAGTAACAATTACATTTTTACATAATATACCTCAAAAAGTTTAAATGTGTCTTTACAACAACAAAACAACAACAACAACAACAACAACAATAATAATAATAATAATAATAACAAGCCTCCGGAAGCTCTGTCATCTCTGCACCGGCGGTAATTGCAGAGTCCGCCAGTATCCCACAATGCCTTCGGCTTCTCTCTCGCCCTCTCGTCGTTTTTCGTGACTGTGCGCGTGCGCGCTCGTGCCGCTCGGTTGTCCGCTGCTCGGTTGTCCGCGATGGCCGCTTCGAAGCCCGTGGAGCCGCAGTCTGGGGGCGGCCTACCCCGCTGGCAGCTCGCGCTGCTGCTCGGGGCGCCGGTGGCGCTCGGGCTCGGAGCCGTGTACCTGTGGCAGCGCAGCCGCGCCAAGGAGAAGCGCGCGGGGGAGCGGAAAACGCCGGAAGGCAGCGCGAGCCCCGTGCAGGGCCAGCGCACAGCGACGCAGCCCGAGCACGAGGACATGGTGAGCACGAGCGCGCGCTGAATCACACCCACCAGCGGTTAATTAGACCGTCTGATTATAACCGATATAGCGGACTGAGAGAGCGGACAGGAGTGACGGTACGGACCCACAGCGCCGAGTTCACGGAGTTCTGCTCGGTTCTCCGACCGCGTCGGTTCTGTAACGTTAACTGTAGCACACAGAGAGAGTTCAGGGTCTCACCGACACTAATGCGGCTCTCTGCCGCTGTGTGCCTCAGTGAGAGTCAGACTCCTCACTGCAGGGAAGTTTTGCAGCGATGAAGTCCTAAAGTAGAGAGATTTCACCAGCCGACGGATCTCATCTGAAACGGTGAAGGGCCGCGATGACTGACTGACTGACAGCCAGTGAACTCTGCTCTCGATTCAGTTTCTGAGACTGAGCCACAAAAGTCACAGATTCATGACGGAAATGTGTAGCCAAACTCTAAGGCATCAGTGTGCTTCAGTAATGATACGTTATTGATATTTCGTCGATAATCTGGTACTGACCTACAAATCTGGAGTAACGGCCGAAATTCTCCCACCTCAGTTTTAGAGAGATTAGTTCACTGAAATGTTGCTATTTCGCCAGTTAGATATTCAAAAATATTGCAATCAGCATTTTGAGCCCAAAAGTGCAGAGGAGACGTTCACGATAGCAGGTTTTGGTCAGTCAGCTATACAGTGTGGTATTGGTCTCTTTTGAGATATATATTTCAGTTATTTTCATGGCTGTAGTGGAGGAGGATGCGGTGATTTGTTGCTACCAACATGAAGGTGTGTAAGCTGATGTGTCCAGCTGCTCTTTGTGAATCACCATAGAAACCAAACCCTCCGGAAAAATGACCTGAGAAATGAGCTGAAGCTCTCTCTGATGTGACCATGGCTAATGGGGGGCTCAGCTTGGAGAAGAACTGATTTAGTGTGAATAACTTACCTGGAAAATTAAGACTAGGTTACATGGTTCATTCGGTAAGTTAGTAGTAACGTTATTAACATACACCTCATACTTACGTCAACTGTTGTTAAACCTCTTTCTGTTTTGCGCTCAAGTGAAAAATGTGAAAATCACACATCGCTGTTTATCCGCCTCGCAGCAGTCAAGGACACAGGCTTATCTAACCGCACACGCTGCTGTGGGGAGCTACGCTAACGTAGCTTAGCTAAGCTAACTTTCAAAGAAGTGGAGCGTGACATATTGAGGCTTTGCCTTGATAAGTACGATTGAGGTTTAGGTTTTGGATTTGGTCCATATTATATTAGCTTGTCAAAGCGTTTAACTTTGAGCCGTTTCGGTCCTGGTTCTCAGACGCTGGATAACTAGCTGCAGTCATGCTAACTAGCCGTGGTTGTCTTCCTGTGCAGCTTGCTAAGCGACAAAATGCTGGCTGGCCTTTCCTCCACATATTTCATTATTTCAGTAGAGACTCACTTTTCCTTCCTGAGAAGGAGTCAGTGGATTCTTTTCCATTTAGTTGACCACATTTGAGCAGTTTATACTACCACTGCTTTACTGGCGAGCTTTTCTGAAATATTTTGGGTTGAATATAATCAGATCAACATGATTGATAGGGTTAAAGAAAAGGCTTTAGAGGGTGAGGAAACTTTTAGCAAAAGTCTACGCGATAAAAACTGATCACATATGAATGGCTTTGCATTACACACACATTAAGGCACGAGAGGGAGTAAGAGTGCTTCATGTGGTTTTAAATCTGTTGTCTAGGGCCCCTGTCATATGGTGCTTCATTGGACTGGACAGGTCTGTTTATTTGTGATCGAATCAGTGTGAGAGGCGGGTGTAATTTGACGTGTCTATGTAGTGATGAAAAATATGAATACAAAAAAGACATAGTGTTGAATGTGGCAACTGAATATGTAATTGCACAATGAAGCACTGGCAATTTTTGCCAAACTGGTAGCTTATAGTGACACTACTCAGCTGTTCGTCTAACCCGAAGTGATCTCTAGATGGTCGTTTACATGTCATTTACATGTCACATATAGTGTCCACTTTCACTTTCATAAGTCAAGCCGTGAGAATGGATCAAGAGTTACACACCTCAGTGAACAGTGAGCTTTTGCACTGTACTAAAATAGCTTTTGCATCATAATAAATAATCCCTTATATGAATGTGTGTGTTATGACTGAGGATTTTCAAACATGATAATTGACATTATATACATTTGATGAATAGGCTATAATATCTAAATGTGTGAATTAAAATCAGTAGTTGTCATTTTATCTCTTTTTAATACTCAGAAAAATGAAGCACATTATGATCTTATGACATTGTTGTAGTGGTTCCAGTATTTATCACAGTCTAATTATCACTATGAAAATAATAAAAGAAGACCAGTTTTGCTGGGCTTGCAGTATGTATTGGGTTTGCACTGGGCTATAGTTGGCGAGGTCCTTGTAGCATTAGTTCTGTTTTTTCACGGACCAATAATGACTTTAGCTGGATATTGACAGGTACACCATGGTACAGGTGGAATCAAGACCAAAAAAATCCCAGCAGTAAAGAAAGGGTAACAGAAGCTTATTACATATGGCACTGTTCCAGTACTAGGTATCACTATCAACAAGAAATGCTAGATCGGATATCGTAGGGGAAAAAGTATGAATCCTGTCCAATTCTGTAACAAATCTAGCCTGAAATAGCACACATTTACACTGTGTGATGTTATGTTCTTAGCTTTAGCTGTGGGCGTTGTAGAGTGAGTAGTTGTAGATGTTCATCGTAAGTGAAATGCTTCAATGCAAAACAGTTCATTTTAAAGATTAGTAGTTTTTAAAGAAGAAATGTTGTTGGATGTAAGATGATATTCAAGCTTCCAGTAATGGGATTGAAAAAGAAAGTGGTGTTGTACTATCACTTATATATATAAAATTAGTATCGCAGGTCTCACATGTGTCCCTGAACTTTTGATTTTAATGCACATGTGAATTTGTAAAAGCACAACTAAGACTATGGTTCACATTCAGGTAGATGAGTAGCTCATATCTGTCATTAATGAGAGCGAACTTGTGCCCTGAAACAGCCATCCAACTCCATAACGTGATGTAAATGAACCTCGGGAAACTTGTGCAGCACAACAACAAATGAACTTGATAGCAGAACAAGCATTCCTTGTGAAGATAATTTGCTCTAAACAGCTGTTCATAATTAGGACGATGCTTTGCTTTTGCAGCGTTTACTGGTTCTCGATTTACGTGGTTACGTTGTACGTGGTACAAAATGTATTTGATCTAAGACTACATATAAAAGTGGCTCAGATTTTTAAAATTTGTGACCATTTATGTCTCAAAAACATCAGATCTGTGTCACATTTAGGTAAAAAGTCAGATTTATGTATGGTGAACGTAACCTAAGGCATGGAATTACATGGAATTAGGGTTGGTTCTAGATCAGCCGTTATGTAGGTTTATGCATCTTATGGTTCTATTTATGGATAGCTGTCCACTTCTCAACCTAATCTAACTCACCTGATGCAGCTAATAACTCTCTTCACAGGCCTGAATAGTATACTAGAAAACTGTGTGTTACATGAGACTTCTACTTTTCCTGTTGTGATAACAATACAACTGAAACAACATCTCGCAGCTGAACTACTCTGTGAGTCGGGAGGCTCTAGGGATTAGCTAAAAGCTCATCATAAGTGGGATTTCACTAAGGCTGTCTGTCTGCAAACTCTGAGACAGAGGGAGGAGTCTCGTATGGGGGCTGTGGGCTTATCTGTCCCTTCAGACCTACTCTCATACTCTAATACAACTGAAAATTGTGTTATGTATATAACTGATAGGTTTGAATGAAATCTTATGGGCTATTTTGACGTTAAGACTTTATCTGACATTAATGTGTACACAGTGCACATTTTAGAGCTGCAGACTTTCAGAGTTTAGAATAATGTAATTTATTACTTCAGTGGTGTCCTTTCATATCTGCAAAGGGCCGGTGCGGCTGCAGGGTTTCATTCCAACAAAGCAGGAAGTCACATGATCAGTTTTTTGAAGACTGACCAGTTGATTAAGCAAGTAGAATCAAGTGCGCTCTGCATGTCTGGAATGAAAACTTGAGGCCACATTGGTGCTAACCAGATAAGATTGGACACTCCTATGTTACTTTGTTGATCAGGTTTTTGATAAATCCCAGTATCCTTCCCATGTCATTTTTTTTTTAGCCAGTGTTGCAAATATTAATGGGTGAATTATCCTGATAGTTTGGTTCTGTGCTCATATGTACTGGTACCAGTTTTATCATATGTGAATTGCAACATAAGAATAGAAACTCTATTAGTTTTAGTTTACGCAGATAAAGCCTTCACAATTAATATCTGTAATTTTTCTGTCATTAGTTTAGGCTTGTACCATAGTTGAAGATTGTGTGAATGTTCAGATTAAGGACACACACAACATATGGTGCCCACTGTCACTGCACACTAATCTGCCCCTTTACTGAATCATCATTGGATGAACTTACCATGGCTGGACAAATTCACAAATGTCATGAACCTAACCATAATGCACATTTTATTGCATTACACGTATTCTAGTACACCTACCTTGTATCTACACTCTTTGTTCTTTTTATGAGCTCCTCTTGCTATATAGGTGCACTTTGTGGTTCCACAGTTACAGACTGTAGTCCATCTTTTTCTCTGGATACTTTGTTAGCCCCCTTTTACCTTGTTCTTCAATGCTCTGAGTATGCAGAGAAACAGATGAGGAGCTACAGTCTGCAATCATGGAACTGCAAAGTGCACCTATATGGCAAGTTGACCTGATAAAATGAAGTGACCGGTTGGTGTATATGGTAAGGGACTATAAAATATTTTTCAGAAGGTCATGAATGCCATGCCATGGAGGTTATGAAACTTGTACTGTATTGTTCCTAACTATCTTTAATGCATTTCAATGTCCCACCGTACAGAGCCCTCTGGATAGAGCCCAGGCTGCTAAGAACAAGGGCAACAAATACTTCAAGGCTGGCAAATATGAGCAGGCCATCCAGTGCTACACAGAGGCTATCAGCCTGTGCCCCAAAGAGCAAAAGAGTGACCTGTCCACCTTCTACCAGAACAGAGCTGCAGCATATGAGCAGCAGGTTAGTTTCAGTGATCCAGGCTTTGCTTCTGATTTGTCAAGAATATGCTGAAAAACTTCCTGTGTTGCGTGTTTCTCTGTACTTTATGTGTATGCAGGCGAAGTGGACAGAAGTGGTGCAGGACTGCTCTCAAGCTGTTGAAATGAACCCACGCTATGTCAAAGCCCTGTTTAGGCGTGCCAAAGCCCTGGAAAAACTGGACAACAAGAAGGAGTGCCTAGAAGGTTGGAGTTCTTTTTTTGCTGAGTCATTTAATTTCTCCATTTTTGGAAGAATAGAAATTTAAATAACTACAGACAGGACAAGGCCACGTTTAATTTGCAGATGGACCCCAGTCCGCCTGGTTTCTCTCACTCACAAAAGTGGTTTTCCACTGCACAGAGTACTGTAATTTTTGGCTGTATCAGTGCTTTTTTCTATTGGCAGTTGGTTCCAGGTTGCAGTTTTATGATTTTTAGTATCTGTTCAAAATTGGACCTAATGGTACAATGTTCTGTTCTGGTTTTGCTAACACTTACAACTGCAGCCAGTCAAGATCTATTGAATCATTTACTCTTCCAGGTAGAGCTGAACAATGAATTGTGTTCATATTGAATAATAAAATTGGAATTTAAATTCTGTCAAACCTTATTCAACATTGTCCTAAATATAATTTGAGGAAATAAAATCTAATAATGCAGAGCTTATGAACTGGCAGTCTGGCACACTATGTTGACATTCAGGCCTCGAGTGCAAAACAAAATAGAAGGACTGCTCTATTTGGTCAGCTTAATATGTATGAAATAAACACATTTAAATCAAAATATTTGTCAGAAAAATTGCAATTGGATATTTTCCCTAAATCGGATCAGTTTCTTGTTTTTGAATATTCAGTGCAAAAATCCCAATTATGCATTTTTTCTTTAATGGAACATGTCATTCCAAAATAACAATTACTCTAAAATGGGATTGATTAAGTAAGAAAGCTGAAACATGAGGCAAGTCATCTGATGAAGATTCCTTTTGTAGATGTGACGGCTGTATGTATTCTTGAGGCCTTCCAGAACCAGCAAAGCATGCTACTGGCAGACAAGGTGTTGAAACAGCTGGGAAAAGAGAAGGCCAAAGAAAAATACAAGGTGAGAGTGTGTAATACTAAAAGTACAGTCAGTGTTCAGTTAGTTCTCTGTAAAATTCTCTGGTTTGATGCGTTTCTTGCTTATTCTGTATGTGTAGTTGCTTAAACGCTTTCACTTTGTTTTTCTGTCTAGAACCGGGAACCTCTCATGCCGTCTCCACAGTTCATCAAGTCCTACTTCAGCTCCTTCACTGATGACATCATCTCACAACCGCTTCAGAAGGGAGAGAAGAAGGATGAGGACAAGGATAAAGAGGGCGAGGCTGCTGAGGTCACAGAGAGGTTAGAGTTTCTGATATACTGGTCATAGGAGATAGTATGGGTGTGATGGTGGTGGGTTAAGGTTATGTCAGGACAACTCAGTGTTCTGTTGTTCTGTTCTTGTTCTCTTGGGTGATAAAGTAGATGTTATTCTTTGGGGAGATTGAGGGTGAAGTCTGTAATAAGCAGACTTTGCAACTGTTCTCACTGCCAGAAGAGTGGAGAACTGCATGCATTAAAAGGTAGTCTGAGAGATATGATCAGTGGATATTTTTAGCAAATTTTTGGCTTTTATAATAACTTTAGTCAAATGTTTCTAGGCATTTCTGAAATCACATGTTCACACAATTAATTTGCTCCAATCCAGAGCAGCCAGGTTTTTATAAAAATTTAGATTTATTTATTTACTGGACTAGTTAGGACCCCCCCCAATCACACAATACTACCAGCGCTAGGAGGGTGAAGGCTAGCACAGGCTTCCTCCGAGACCTGTGAAGCCAGCAACCGCATCTTTTCGAACTGCCGGTCACGCAACGTCATTGGACAGCTGAACGTGCTCAGAGGAAAGCACCAACCACCAGATCTGTTATGTCAGCTAACAGACGCCTGCACTGACTAGCATCGTGTTGGGGGAGAGGGGGGGCCATCCTACCCACCCAGAGAGAGCGAGGCCAATTGTGCTTTCTTGGACTCCTGGCCACGGATGGCTGTAGCATCACTAGGGATCGAACTCGCGATCTCCTGATCACAGGGCCAACGCTTAGACGGGTGCGCCACTTGGGAGCCTTAAGTCTGTTTTTAAAATGATTTATCTGTTACCTTTGTCCTAGTTGCAGACTTTTGTCCTAAATTTTTCTAGTTTTCTTTGAAATCACAGTGTTGAAATTTCAGGTCTCAATAGTGATAATTAATATTTAACCAATATTTTAACAGTAAATTGTGACTGATTTGGAACACCACCAAATTTCTGTGTAATTTTTATGGCATTGCTACATTATGTGTCCTTGCATTACAAACAAAGTTATGTTATTATGCTGGTCTTGTGAGCTTTGCTTTGGTAAGATCAACATTGAACCCTTTCTATTTGTTCAGCTCGGGCTATCTGAAGGCCAAGCAGTACATGGAGGAAGAGAACTATGATAAGATCATCAGTGAGTGCACTAAGGAGATTGAGTCTAAGGGCAGGCACACTGCTGAGGCGCTGCTACTGAGAGCCACATTCTATCTGCTCATCGGGAATGCCACGGCTGCTCAGCCCGACCTGGATAAAGTGATCAACATGCAGGATGCCAATGTCAAGGTAATTGAGTCTGGAGATGATGGTGGTGATGATGATGATTATTATCATCTGATAAATTATTATAAAATGTTGATTTGGAGGCCAAAACAAGGGCAGTCTTTTGTAAATTTGTTCATTTGTGTCTGTGTGGCTTGTGGCTTGTTGCAGTTGCGGGCTAATGCTCTGATAAAACGTGGCAGTATGTACATGCAACAGCAGCAACCACAGCTCTCTACTCAAGACTTCAACATGGCTGCTGAAATTGACCCCCGCAACGCAGATGTCTACCATCACAGAGGACAGGTAAAGTTGCCATTTTGTTCTTTTCCTTGCTGAAGGATTATCTGGTTGAAAGTTTTCACTTTTATTGTCCTTTTTGTGCTTAATAACTTGTGCATAGTCCTTTTTTGTGTAGTGGTATGTACCTCCTAGAACATCTTCTATAAAGGGATGCATTACTGGATTTTACCCTGTCTCATTGTACAGTGATTGTAATTTAAGATGTTTTTAAAGCTTTCTTAACCAGTTTACTAGTTTATCTAGTGACACTTGCATTTCTGATTGTGGTAGAGATTGGCTGAAATGCTTCTGTTAGTTCTAAATGAACTTGCTGCTAGGAATAAGACTTTTCTGACAAGATGAGAAATTTCCAGATTCAGAGTACTGTAAGAACAGTATGACACCTAATTAATTTTGCATTTGTTATTTTAGGTTTGTCAGCACTTTTAAAAATCTTGGAATAGTGCCACTCTGTGGTTTAACCAGCCTAATTGTTTTTACTTGCAAATTGGATAAATAGGGGTGTTACCACTCTCACAATTCATAATTCAGTAGTGCAGTGGTGTCTGGATTTTTCAGTACAACAAAAATAAGGAAAATGTACCCTATCTTAGTGTTGCCATTTTCAGTTTATTTAACATGATAAAAGTACAATATTAGAAACAGATGCTGTGGTTTTTGGTTTCTTGATCTAATGCTCTATCCAAAAGTTAATGTTAGCCCCAAGCTAAAACACTAGCCACCAGCTATAGTCACAATACAAAATATACTATACACAAACATAGTGTACAAATACACTATGACACAATTCAATACAGTACAATACATTGGATTGTTAACCCTAAACCAATAAGTTGTTGCCAACAAATGAATACCTTTTTGAGACCTGTGCTTAAATATAGCGAGTTATGAAGTAACGTATGAATGTTATCATTTTTAACTCCTTTCTTGTCTTTTAGTTGAAAATTCTGCTGGACCAAGTAGAGGAGGCGGTGGCAGATTTTGACGAGTGCATTCTGCTCAGGCCAGATTCTGCCCTGGCACAGGCACAGAAGTGCTTTGCCCTTGTAAGTTCCAGCAGAGGGCACCATTGTGCATTCAAACCTTTGAATATCCATTGTTCAAACTTCCCACACACCCAAATAAAGTGCATGAAAGATAATGTAAAAATATAAGATGTAAATACCTAATAAGAAAATGTTGTCATAGTTGTACAGTTATGAAAACGCTTCCCAGTTCTCAGTCCTATGCATAATGTGTGCTTCAAATAAAAACAAATTATCTTGAGAGCATGAGTTTAAAATGATCTGTTGTATCTCTACTCCAGTATAGACAGGCCTACACAGGAAACAACCCATCCCAAGTGCAGACAGCTATGGATGGCTTTGAAGATGTCATCAGGAGGTTTCCTAAATGTGCAGAGGGCTATGCTCTTTATGCACAGGTATGCACTTTGGAGTTGTTTCATAACCGCTTTACTGGAAAAATACAACTTACAACAAATAACAGTCCAATTTTCTCCTTCAATCTCGACATCGGGGTAGGCACTGACTGACCAGCAGCAGTTTGGGAAAGCAGATGAGATGTATGACAAGTGTATTGAACTGGAACCTGATAATGCCACAACATATGTCCATAAAGGGTTAGTTTTCAACCACTGATTTACTGTTGATGGTATGCTGTAAGTGTTAGAAATTTTTCTTAAGCAACACTTAAATGGCTTTAACTGTATTCTTGTGTCTTGTCCATTTGTCCAACCATTCATGAGCAGGCTGCTGCAGCTCCAGTGGAAGCAGGATCTGGACATGGGCTTGGACCTTATTAGCAAAGCAATTGAGATTGACAACAAATGTGACTTTGCCTATGAAACTATGGGAACTATTGAAGTCCAACGGTATGACCCCTAAACCAATATGTTACAGTGTCTTACTTCTTTAGCACTGGGTGTTAAACATCTGTTTACTATGGCGTGCCTGAATAATTCAAATTCTCAATACTCAAGTATTTGTTTGTTGCATTAGTATTCGTTTCTCTATGTAGTATTCGAACACTTTGGCTTTTTTAATCCACAGAAATTGTAGCTCAAAATATTTGTCAGTAAAGGCCTTTAGATAGAACAGTGATTGTTAATATATGGAAAATATTCTAAATAAATAAATTATAGCTGGTATAGTTGAACGCATCATAAATTCATGCCAGGCACCCACGTCACCTCACCTCAAAATGCAATAAACTACACCGCTTTCCATGCGGCCACTGAAGCTAAAAGAGCAATGCTGCCTCAGAAATCACATGAAACATCAGATCATCAGATAAAAAGTCATTTTTTGTGTAAATTTTTCAGTTAGAGGTTGACGGCATGACAAGTTTGTTGTGTCCTCTTAAATGTGTAAGTATAGTGACCCTTATCCGAGACTGCCAAGCAGCCAATGCACTCAGCTCTGTCACATGACCGCTTCAGGTGGAACGAAAAAAAACAGCTCTGTTTTTCCCTCCTTTTATTAAACAGATTTACAGCAGGTTCAAAACTATACAGAACAAACAGCACATCTCTTAAGTCTTAATCACAAGATTTTTCCACTATGTCATAGAAAAGTAACCTTCACATACAGTTAGTTCCACACAAGAGCTGCTCTCCAACTACCACATTAGCAAGATCACCACATTAGTATTTTTTTGTTTGTTTTAGTTATTATTGTTTTTTATTATAAATAATACAAGTTTGTGAAATTGGAAAACAAAGCTAGCAGTAGTGGAAAAAAATGCACTTGCATTTTGACAACAATTTAATTGAATGATTGAAATGACGGTGTATCTGTTCCGTCAGCATTTCATATATTATTCTTTGTGTGGGTGATTTTTAAGGACACGTATTTGGGTATGTGTTCGGATTTTAAGCCTGTAAAACACAGTTCAGGCCAGCCTAACTGTTTACACAACCAGTTCTGTAATGTGATGCTACAGGAAATTCACTTTGACCACATTGCTTAAGAAAGCAGTTACTGAAAATAAGTCTATGAACTGATTGAACACTCTTATTTTTTCACAGAGGCAACCTTGACAAGGCCATAGACATGTTCAACAAGGCCATCAACTTGGCCAAGTCAGAGATGGAGATGGCCCACCTCTACTCACTCTGTGATGCTGCCTACGCCCAGACTGAGGTGGCCAGGAAATATGGGCTCAAGCCCCCGACACTGTAACTCTCCTCCCCAATCCTTAGTCTTCTGCTGAGCCTGAGTATACACATCCCATATCCTCTAATGTCTGAGTTATTTAATTTTGTCTAAAATTCTTTGTCAGAAGCAAGAAAGGTAGACAGAGGAGGGTCTGCAGTCGTGTAATTATGTTTACGTCTTTTTTGATTAGAGTAATACAGTGAAAATGGAGAAGTGAGTTGAGGAAATGAAAGATAGAGGGGGAGAGAGAAATCAGTAAAGACTAGAGTGAGAAAAATATAGTGGCTTTATAGCCTCTGACAAATTGGCAGTGGTTTAGCCTGTGGACACCCCTGCCTGGCACTTGGCGTGGCCCAGACTAACACCACCCTTCATAAAAGCATGCATATATCACTGCTTTGCTTCCTGCGTTGGTTATGTGCCCATTTATAAATCCTAAATGATTCTTAGAATTCCGAACTATGTTCAGTAAAAATACTATCAGTAAATTGAAATGAATTAACTTGATAGCTTTAATGGTTGATGCTTGTTTTTTGTTTTTTTGGGGGTTTTTTTCTTGTATGGGGACACTAAAAATTGAATATGTCTATGTGCACACTGTTGGAAGAATTATGTTCAGTTGATTCTGGAATTTTGGTTTGTTGCTGTGATGTTATAACTGTTTGGATGTTTTCTACAGTTCTGCCACTGTCATATAGAATTAGATACACATTGTTTTATGGGAAGTGCAGGATAAAGTGTTTTAGTTGAGACATGTAGGCTGTGTATTACAAGTTTGTCAGTGTGTCACTGCCATTATTGACACATTTTATGTCTAAAAGGGGAAATATATCACGTCAAAGAGAATTTGGGCCATACAGTGATTTAATTTTTGTTGTCTGTTTGATTTTCTTCTTTCCTTTTTTTAATTTGGGAACCGTGTGGTCTTTTTTTATATTCTGTACAGCACGAGTGAGATTTCTCTTTATAAATAAATGTTAAGACTCTCCTCTTGTAATCCTACTCTAGTAATGCAATCCAGCTTCTTGGTTTGTTAAAGTGAACGCCTTAAATCACTTTTAGCTTTCTTTTCTAGATCAGCACTTTTTCAGTCATGTGATTTATATTATTCATGTCAAGGGGAAAACAACCAATCTAATGTTTCCATTGGAGCACTAACTATGAACACAATCAAATGATTAGGCCACCCCCACCCCAACTGATGCACTAAAGTGTTGAAACCATTTATCAACATGTAATAACAGAAATTATTCAAGAAAGGAAATGTGTATTCGCCATTTTGCTTATTGTTATATTTCAGTGAAATTAGTTTATTTTTATTGTAAAATAAATTTATTTGGAGGATGTTTCTTCCTGTTTGGGGAATGGTTGATGCAGTATCCTGTCCTTGTCAGCTGGATTATTTTTCACTCATAGCAAATAACAAAATGCTTCAGTATCTTTACCAGTAGTATGTGTGTATGTTGTATTTCTCTGTGAAGCTGCTCTGTTGTCATGCAGATGCTTGAACACTAGAGCCTTATCTCAAGCTGGATGTGAAATGGATGCGAGACGTCCACAAACTACATGTAGCAGCATACGTTTACAATGTCAAGGGCTTTCACACACATTCTTATAGCTGTAACATATTCTAGAAATACATATATCTCTTGTTTGATGCTTTTTTGTCCACCACCTTAAAATATTTTGCAGGTTTGATTGTTACTCAGTATTGGGGAGTAACTGAGCTAAGTAACTGACTTTTTTCATAGTTTTCAAAGCAACTAATTTGTAGCATATTAGTACAGTTATTTGAGCAAAGCTACTTCTTTCACGTTGTCTAACTGGAAGTGTCAGTGTTCTGATTTTACTGTTGGCGTGTTTAGGCTGTTAAACATCAGGGGCCAAGCATATACCTCAATAGGTGAATGGTTCCTTTTACTGCCAAAACTTTCCCAACAGAGAGCCTTCCAGATCCCCTCTGCTGTCAATACTAAAAGGTTAACAGGAAAAATAAAAAGGCACATTCATTTGAATCTGGATAATGTACCCTGATATAGAATGCTTTTTTATAATCAAACCACATAAGGAGTTTAAAAATGGGGGATATTAGACTGAGTGTATCTTTATGTATGACTTCAGTGCATTCAAAAGGAAAAAAAGAGAAGCCCATGCATGTAAAGATTTGTTCTGTTGCCTGTGCTGTTGAGTTTGCTTGCTCTGTGATAAGCCTACCTAAATGGACTGAACTTGCAACACAAGCCTAAGTTGTGGGGAAAAAGTAATCATTCCAGGCTGCTGCATGTGTGAAAATCATTTGAGAAACTCCTGTTTGTAATAACCGTTTTAATATAAGCTTTGCATAAAGAAGATGAGTTAATGTGTGAACGTGGCCCATTTGATGCTGAATCTTTTGAATCATACTGTGTTAACTGTGCCCTCTAGGTGAAATTTAACAGATGGGAGGGAAAACCCTGCTGACAGAAAAAGTAATGTTAGTAATGTTTTCATGTGTAATCTTAATGTAACATAAAATAAAGAAATTATTCAAATAATGGACATCGATTCTACTACAAGGTGTTATTTATGTAACTTTAAAAAAGCCAAGTGTCTGATTGTAATAGCTTCTCTTTATGTAATGTCTTGTCAGATAAGCACCCTCATCCGCCATCAGGCCTGTTGGTCATACATAATGTGACGTATAGTGGGTCACACCCCCTTGCAGCAGATTAAGGTTCAGTTCCCTGCTCAGGAGGGAACACCATGCTGTACAAAATGAATCCAAGACTCCTAATGCTACATTTGCCAGTGTAAAATAATTAAAAATTTGATATCACTTTGAATAAGAGTGTCTGTCAACTGATAAACAAATAATACTTCACAATAATGGATGGATCATCCTATTTGTGGTGGATTTTCCACCTTATACCTTCCATGGTCAGAACTGCTTTCACTCATAAGTTTGCTTTATAATTAGTCTGTGCCCTATTTGAACTGCAAAACCTTTTCTGGGTGTCTTAAAATTGTAATCCTTCCCTTCACTTAGATATTCTTTAATTCAACATCCTGTATGCTTGACAGTTGCTTTTGCTTTTGACAGTTTTTGATATAAATTGCACCAAACTTGTGGCCCACAGGAGGATGGGTTGCTTTTTTGAGTTTTGGATCCTTTGAGTTGTTTCTTCTCATGCTCTTTTGCCTTGCTCTGGACACAAATTTCAGTAAAGCTGCTTTGAGGCAATGTCTGGTAAAAGCACTATACAAATAAACCTGAAATTAAATCACACAAGGCTGTCAGGACAAGGGTTCCACCACACTACAGTTCAGTCTGGTTCAGTTTGTACGTTCATGTCTTCATTCACTCTGTTTTGTTGACTTCATTGATTTTTTTTTTTCATTGCTGCTTCAGACAAAACGATGAGGCAACAAGTGTGAAAACCCTCTGCCAGTCAGAGTGACGTGGAGAGTCAACGCAGCAATGGCCGACTCTGTGGAGGAAGTTCTTCAGGGCAGCTGGTAAGGGACGGTCAGTCAGGTTTCATTTAGGAAAGAAACAGTCCAGACGGACTCTCGGAGTGAAGTCGTTCAATCTGGAGTGTTCACGGACACTAGATAACTGTCTAAAAAAACAGTAACAACAGTGCGAGGCCGGTCAGAGACCCAGTGCTGTTGTGCTAACAGTTAACGTTAGCCGGGCTTATGGACACAGACAGCGGTTTGCTAGCCTGGAGGCTCCGGTTAGCTTTACTTCTCCATTTACTCTGGAGGGGGACACGAATGCCTTCGACCACTCATTTTAATAGAATTTATTTTTTTTTGTCTCGTTTGACCGCCGGTTGTCCTTAGGGGTCGTTTCACTGCCTTATATCTAAGTACCAGTTGGTGTTAGCCTGTTAGCTTTCCATTAGAGTGTAGCTGGGTTCAATTTAGCTGCCAGGCTAATGATGAATTCAGCGTAAAATGACTGATAAACGGTCGCTTCAGTTATAATAACGCTGTCTCGGTGTGACAGGGACAGAGGTGGGAAGAGTGATTTTGCGATTCAAAATTTAGAAGTGTGTTTAGTGAGTAAAAACGAGAGCTAAGATTAGAGCTGAAATCTTAACGCCTGGTTCGCTGGTTCCTCAAAAATGAGTAACGGGTGACATGAACGCTCACGTTGTTGGAGACTAACAGTCAGCTCTTGGTATCAGAGGTCACTGTGCTGGTGCCGTCATTAAGATCATCGATCGCCTGTTTTAGTCCGTAAACCTGCGTGCAGGTAAACGTCTGATGGGTTAACGCGCGTGAAAAAGCGTATAGCTAACATAGTTACATATGAGAAACTGATGTATCACATGTATGTGTATATATATATATGTATTAGTTGGTCTGTATAGATTGTGGTCTTTATTTACTTCATTTGGCTGGTTTAATGCATCCGCGTCTTGTGTATAATTGTGCCCTGAGGGGACGTGATATACACTATGAACCTTAGAGTTCTTCCTAGACACGTAGTATCTAGTTCACTGGGTGCGTTGTGATATTATCTGTCAGTCTAGTCCATCTGACGTCAGATCTTTACTGCTTCTTTGCATACCTGACTGAGGAGGAGCATCGCCACACCACTCAGTCATCCCAACACGCTTTAGAAAGATGGTTCTTCAGGGGTTCTTTGGTGAAGGGAATGGTTCTGTATGAAATTCTAACTTCTATATAGAATCGTTTCATGCTTTAAAAGGATGGAGAACATGTGTTTTTTTATATATATGTAATTTCCCTAATTGAAGCCTAAATGATAACCAGCTATATTAATATGGTGGCTGAGATTAGCAGGTGTATAGAGGAAGCACACAGACGCCCGGCAGCTGCTATAGATGATCCATTGTGTCTTCTTCCTCCTCTGAATATGAAACAGTAGGCAGGAAGAGCAGAGGCTCTTACTCAGTGACATGTGATGGAGGAAAACACAGTGAGTTTGTAAGCCTATTATTATCTGGACAAAGATAAGCATTACTATTTATTAACAGTATCTTCTAATTCAAGCCAAACATGACTCCCTTTGAGATGGTGTTCCATCTATGAGGCAGCTGGACAACAAGTGATTTCTTACTTTGCTCAGGAGGTTATGAAGGAATGCTCCAGTCTGTAACAGCCCGCTGAAGCAGCTGCCCACTGGTTTCCATTAAAAGGGAGTGCCGAGTCAACGGGTTTTCTGTTCTTGTACCAAGTAGAGGGAAACGCGTCAAAATTGTTGTTTAGGGCAACTGCTCCAGATGCGCAGGTAGAAGTTGGATTTAAAAACACTGCAGTATTGCTTTAAAACTGTAACTGTGGCCTGTTTAGTTTGCAGTGCTTTTCGTTCAGGTCCACATTAAGAAATGATGTAGCAAATCCTGCTTGCTGTTTTTCTGTTCTGAAAAAGACTGAAGCTGTGATATGATTCACTTCGTGTCAAGTTCAGGCCTGCCTTTGTAGTGTTTTGTTGCAATAGCCTCTTTCATATCCTGTCTGATGCTGTCTTTAGCTCTTTCCCGTTCAGAAGTAGCGGTAAAAATATCTTTAGCACTCACCAAGCGTTGACTTGTTTCTTGAGTAGGTTTCATGGGAATGATGTATGTATGTGTTATGGGGGTCTAGTTAAAGTAAAGAGAGATCCAGCTACTCTTCAGGACCTGTGGTGTTCTGAATGTTCTTTGCTTATGCAGATAGTGAGTGGATCTGATTTTGAGTCAGTTCAGTGTTGCAGTAGTCTCAGTGTCTGGGCATAGTGGAATTTTGGAACTAATTTGGACTATTTTGAATACAACTCAGTTACATCACTTTGCTGAATGAAATTGTGCTGGAGCCTTGTGGTGCATACTACCAGTCAGACTCATTCTGTGCAGTTACACAATGAAGCTGTGGAAATAAAATCCAGATAATTATGAAATTCATAACATTTTAATATTACAAAATATTATGCCAATACTAGGCAGTGAAACAAACAGTATGATCTGTGTGTGTCAGTAGTCAGCTTTTGTTGAGCCATCAGCACATTGGACTTTTATGATCTCAGCATGATTTGACTTCTGGGCTGCATTCAGCCCTGACAAAAAGTAACAAAACGTTTATTTAAACAGAAGCGGTGTGCGTTGAACACTCTGTTGTGTTATCCACGCGTTGCAGCTATGAAAGCTGAGAAGGCCATTCTTAGTATCCAATTTTGGACCCTGATGAAATGGGGTTAAATGCAGGTTTAATGCTTCAAAATACGTCTTCTGACATCTTCAACTGTTGCATACACCAAGTTGTAGCAGCCGCATTTGTAGAGGACGTTATTAGAATTCATTGTGTGCACTGCCTTTTTAATATGGTGGGGTTTATATACATCTAGCCACTGCTAGGGTAACACCTCTGACACATCCATCACACCAGAGAAATGTACCTCAAAGACCATTGCAAACCGCTTTGCGCCGTTTTGACGAAATGTTGTTCAGTAGCAAAACATTGAGGTATCTGGTGGATGATCCCCTGTGCTACACATGAAACCGTTTACACCTCTGTGTTTTTAAATTTGTATTTTCAAATGCGTATTGGATAATGATGCAAAAAATGTGATTCATCTTGTATTTAAAATTTGCAGAGTGGCGTACTTTTTTTGTGAATGGTTGTTTTGGGTTCAGGACAGCTTTCAGAGACTCTCTGCTTCAACACCAGTCAACACCAACTGCTGTTTGATCCCTGCTTTGCTTCCTGAAGTCAGCAGTGGTTTTCCTTTTGTTGGTTTTCAGGGTCACACTGGCATAGTGAAACCACTTTGTCAGCTGTGAGTGATGGACATTGTTTTCGCAGCAGAAAGGGAGATTTTGTGTGTGAGAAAGAGCCAGAAGAAGTGTGGGAAGGAGCGTCTTTGTTAGTGGAGTTTTGTTTTGTCCAGTGGCGGTCTGGCAGATGGTGGAACACTTTCGTCCCAGAATATCGTTTGTGTAGCCAAGTGATGTTGTCTAAAACTGGGATGCAACCTTGCTCATATTAGACCAGCGGAAACTGATGCATAATTTCAGGATTCAGTTTTGGTAGATATTTGTGAAAAAAAATATTGGCTTTGGACAAATTCCTTGATTTGATTGATATTTCGAACTAATATTTGGTGATGTTTTTACTAGAAGAGCAGAGCATTTAGTTGACGCTGGGCTACTGTGCTGAAATATCAGTATTTTATTAATTTTGCTGCTTTCATAAATTAATGTTACATTTCTCTGTAATGCTAACCCATTTTCTGTATTTTATAAATGTTTTTTGTATATGGCATATATGTATGTGAAAAATAAAGGACATTGGCATCAACACAGAATTCCTAAATTGGTGTATCTTTACTTTCAGGTCATTGAAGGGCTTTCTTAGCACTATTCTGAAATTTGCACTTCTTTCTGGGGTGCATGATGATGTCTGTCTTTTTCAGTATTAGGAGATAATTGCTTAAATTTTACTGATATTTCAAGCCGATATTTGACATTTATATATTATTATACATATTAAACAGCCTTCTTTGTTTCTGTGCCCTTAAGTTACATCAGGCATGTCAAACTGGAGACCTTCCGGGCCAAAGTGCTACAGAGATTAGCGTTTACCCTCATCTGACGGACTGAATTCAGTTCATGAAGGCCTTGCTAATTAGTTGATGAGCTGAATTAGGTGTGTATAACGAGGCAGTGTGCTGAAGTCTGTAGTGGTTTTCCTGATGTGTGAGTTACATGTAACATGTAAGTGATCTCTGTTCTGATTGGATGCCCTGTACTGTGCCTCATTCAAAAAGCAGTCCGGACTAAAACACTCCTTATGACTTCACCATGAAAATATGTGTATGTACACATTTGTATATGTATATGTAAATGTGTTGATTTTTTTTTTGACGTAACAAAAACAGTTATTTGATAACAGGGAACTGCATGCCATGACCATATGGCATGCAAGAGGCCTTTGCTCACTTGTGCTCACAAAGTTGCCCGGTTACGGTGGGCAAAGAGATACAAAATTGGACTGTTCATTACATGAAACGTGTTATCTGGTCAGATGAATCTGGTTTCTGCCTTTATGTGAATGATGCTGGGCGTTGTGTTCATCATAGACCTCCACTGAGGACTGCGTGCAAGGTGTGGTTTGAGCTGAAGGAGGAGATGGTATCGCGTTCACAGGGCTGCAAATGTGACTGATTGGTGTAATGAACATTCAGGCGCATTCACACATCATTCACAAATCCCCAGATTTGAATCCTCTTGAAAATCTGTGGGACTACTTGGAACAATGAGTAAGACACCAGGGAAGGCATCCATGAAATCTGGCCAAACTGAGCAATTCTTTGATGCAAGAGTGGCTGAACATTGCTATCACCTACATCCAGAAACTTGTCTCCAGTTCATGCTCATGGAGATATTACATGCTATTAGATATGTTTCAGTCATAGGTGACAATTTTTTTGTCCGGTGGGCTTACCTTCTTAATATTTTTAAGGCTTGTTTGATCATATGAGATTTTCCTCAAAATTCATTGTGAAATCCTCAAACAAGTATTGAATGCTGTTTATATAGAACACCCAAACCTTGCTTGGCTTTGCTGGTACCACACCCTCTCACCTCCACCACATCCTCTCTTTTTTTCTTTGTACCTGCCACTTTCTTCTCCTTCTCTATCTTACTGTAGGTGTTTTTGTCAGCCATTTGTCAATTCTTCAGCAGTAGTTTGCTTAAAGACTTGTGTTTGTCTGTCTGTAGGAGCTGTCACTCCACTATGCTTTAGTATGACTAGCATCCAAAGCTGGTTCTGCTTTTAAGTGTAGTGTGAGCTGGATTATTGTCTTCATTGTCTTCTTCTGACATGTTTTCTGACCAAACCCTGGGACTGACCCAAGTAATTGTATACTCTAGTATTTGTTTGTTACATTGGTATTCAGTTGAGTTAATGGAAGCTTCGTGTTTCTTCACCCTTTCCACATGGCCATTTAAACTAAAAGAGTGCAGATGTCTTAGAAATAATTGGAACACTGTAAATTATTGGACGAGAAGAAAAGTGCTCAGTGTAAAGGTGCAAAGAGGCCGTAATACCCTGGAGGCACAAAAAAAAGATGAATAATTTCGAATATGATTTTATTATCAGCGGTATTTATCAGAGTGTTACAAGGCTCTGGTGAGGGTGACACTAAAGCTCAGAGCCTCAAACCTGTTTGTTGAGGTGAGTTCTGGCAGTGCTGAAGGAGGGGAACCCCGGCCGCTCATATCGTTGCGAACGAGTCTGGCGCAAGGTAAAGTTCGCTGTAGCCACTCTAGCCAGCGACTGTTTAGGACTGAGAGCCGCATCACTGAGCTCAGCCTGGCTCTCACTGAGCTCAGCCTGTCTATAAAACAGCTCATAAACTCAGAAACAAATGAGTGTGATAGAAGTGACTCATAAAATCTGTATTTTAACAAGAAGGCATCGATTTTGGGTTTTATCATAGCAACACAGTGCAGTTGGGTTTCAGCCTGTCTGTTAATACTCTATTGTTGTCTTCTGGATATCTTTAAACAGATGTGCTTAAAATTATGGTTAATTATGAAATGTAAATGTTGTATTTAAGGGTTATTTTGAGAACGAGTATACATGTCCACAGTTTTCAAAGCATATAAAATTTGGGCTAACTGTAGTTTTGACTTTTGTGAATTTATTTATTTCTTCATTTATTTGGGTTGATTAAGTTTTAGGCATTGAAGCTTGCTTATCATAATAGAAGTCCATGCTAAAAAGTACTATAAAATAACACAGGTCTCACTGATCAGTCTTTGATGTTTGAAAAAATCTTGATATTATGATAGACATGACTGCAGGACAGTTCCTATTTTTGTGTGTGTGTGTGTGTGTGTGTGTGTGTATGTGTGTGTGTTTGAGGTAACAGTCTCTATCTGATGTTATGAATGTGTGCAGTCAGTTGCTATAATTTTGGAAATATTGTGTACATGTATGCTTACAGATAGCTGGACTAACAGCAAAACACTCAATCTAAGCTGTTATAGGCATCCTTTATATCTGGGAAAGATACTGTTACCTTTACCTTATGACATGTTAATTGTGAATAGCGATGAGGAGTGTGATGATTTTTCAACGTTATGATAAATTTTGTTGTCATGATACGCTCACAAAACTATTTTGCTTATGATAGATATCAACAGAACATTGACCACTCTTTCATTAAAGTAAGAGCATAGTCCTGTTTAACTGGATTTAGTGTAGTGCTATATGTATAATGTTAAGTAAAAATCATTGTACGTGGAGTTGATGGCAGTTTTAAAATGTGACACTAGTGGTGTATTGTGTCTGTGGGTCAAAATATCATGATGCGTATCAAATATCATGAAAATGTCTACGTATCATAATATGGTATTTTTGGCATGTCACTCACCCCTAATTGTGAGTGTAAACTTCAGTTAGCTTTTGGATTTCATTGTAATTATTTTATCTTACGTTAATCCAGATAAAGTTTTTGAAATGTGTGTATTGTGTAGGGACCATGACCTGGCTGAGGCTCTGGACTCGGCAGGTGGTGATTTGGACGCAGAGCAGGATGGCATCATTCAGGTCCGAGACCTACCACCCCCCCAGAGAGCCAAGCTTTGGATGGTAAGTGTGTGTGTTTGTGTTGAAGTGTATGGTATGTGTGTTGCACTAAACTCAACTGATATAGTAGACAACAGATGAACAAAAATGCCATGTACTATTTCTATATTAGTATAAAAGTTATCTAATGTATCTTTTTTCTGTTTTTGAAAGGTACTGAATTAGAAACTTTAACAGTTAGCTGCACTGTAAAGCGAGTCATCAACCGTTGCTCAGCAGAATGAAATAGTTTTTGTGAAACACTGCTGTTATCACTAATAAGTAGAATGTTTCTTAACCAATCAGATTAAGCCATTGAAACTAACTGTTGTATGTGTACTAGTGAGATTTCTACATGGCCTGTGAGCTGAGCTGTTAAAAGCTTGATGCTGAAGCTCTGTTAGAGAGAGACCGCTTTGCAGCAGCTCCAGCTGTTCCCTGAAGGGTGCAGAAAGCCTCCGTATTGATCTGCGGCTCATTAGAGAAATCTGAGCCAGGCACTGGGGGCAAAGAAGAGCTATATGCACTGCAGACTGCAGCTTTATGGCCTCCCCCATAAGGGCCCCTTCAAAAGCCCTCTGCTGCATCTCAGTATCAAAGCCCTCATCCTTTCTCATCCCTCATTACTTTAACCTTTCTGCCCTGTTTGTGCTCCTGCCTGATTCTGTGTGATTCTCGTTGTGTGTGTGTGTGTGTGTGTGTGTGTGTGTGTGTGTGTGTGTGTGTGTGTGTCAGATTGCTCTAAATGTGGCAGGTAAAGGAGACAGTCTGTCCTCGTGGGATGGAGCTTTGGACCTGCCAGAACAGACACTCATTCACAACAGATGCCAGCAGCTCATTGGTGAATAATCTAAATCACATCTGACAGTTTACTTCTATTGTTGCATTTATTCAATAAATATACATATAGAAGGCATTCAACATATTGTTCATGTCACATCAAATCCTATAAATATCATTTTTTTCAACAGTTTGAAAACACCAGCTTCCTTTTACACTGATAATTTCATGACAGATTGACCAATAAAATTACTAGTAATAAAATATTGTTACATTAAAGAAAATCAAATGTAAATTATAGGCACTGTATTTAAGATGTTTATTGTTAAGATTCAAAGAAGTACAGTTAGTGAGTCAGGAGAAAAGAAAACATGCCTAAATATGGATGTGAAGCAAGAAATAATAAAAGTCAAAGGTGTCGGGTGGGGTTTCACAGGTGTTTTTGGACCACGTCACGTGTCTTTATGTATGCAAAGTCAACATTATCAAAAGATATGATCTTGATAAAGAAATGAGTTCTTAATGCGCTTGCAATCAGATTCATCCACTTGGGGAAAGGGTCAGAAGCACCACTGTTACAAAATGTTCTTCCTACATTGTATACAGTTTTCAACCAGAGAGGTCTTTCAATCCCCAGAAAAGACATAGTGCAGCTTTAAGGTTAAGAACTTTTTTTGGAGATTTTTCCAATTTTCTTCCTAATTTAGTCATATCCAAGTCAACCCACTAGTTAGGACTCCTCCAGTCACACGATACCACCGGTGCTAGGAGGGCGAACGCAAGCTTCTTCCAACTAGAAGGCAAACGCAAGCTTCTTCCAACTCGTGAGCCATCTCATGTTTTTGAACTGCCGTTAATGCAAAGTCATTGCACAGCTGAATGCACTTGGAGAAGAACACTAGCCACTAGTTCTGTTACGTCAGCTAACAGACGCCTGTGCTGGCTAGCATAGTGATGGGGTAGAGGAGGGCCATCCTACCCAACCAGAGAGAGCGAGGCCAGTTGTGCTCTCTTGGACTCCTGGCCACGGATGGCTGTAGCATCACTGGGGATCGAACTTGTGATCTCCTGATGATGGGGCTAGCACTTGGACAGTTTTGCCACTTGGGAGCCTTGGGTGTTTTTCCTTTTCCTATAAAGGTACTATTTTAGGCATGAGGTTTTGTAACAGCCATGACAATTTTTCATCGTTCAGATACCTGTATGCTCTGAAACTCGTCCAATAGTTTGTGCCACGCTCCCGAATTCCAAATAACAAATACAAAGATTCCTTTTTCCTACCCATATAAAAACATGTTGTCAGAACAGACAGTGTTGTTATTCCGTCAGCAGAACATTCTGATGTGAAGAAGCAACAGACAGATAAAGCCCGGAGCCTCCAACTGCACGTTACTCATCACCCTATCCAACCCTAGCACAGGCCCCCAGCCATCAACCCCCATCTGACTCCAGCAAACTGGTTTCTATTCAGGGAGTTTCCAGAGCTCTGGGGTGCAGCACCAGCTGCAGGGAGCTAACCCAGAAAAATAGCTTTGTCTCTGAACACTGGGACACACAAGTACCAGGCTTCAGCTTCCAGGCAAAGCCCAAAGCAAGACCGAGTGAGAAACTAAGACAGCCAGGGAATTAATCAGCCTCTTCTCAGTTTAGTTCAGTACAGTTTTGTTTATTAAAAAGCAGGGATGTGGGAAATAGGGATGATTTCACTGTTTAACTGCAACTGCTAGAAACAGTAACAGAAAAATAAAAATAGAATAGAGCTTAAGAAAATTTTGAGCATAGCAAAGAGCCATGTGTGCTTTTTGTAGTTTGGAGTTTGTGTTCTTATTTTGTTCTGTTTATGTATCTTTAAATATCTGCAGTAGCGCTGTTTAGGTTAGGACTGCCTTTTAAAGAGAATGAATCGCTTCTCTCACCAGTTGGTCTCTTTGGGGCTTTGATGCTAAAAAGCAAACAGGAGTTATAAGCTAGTTTTGTGCGTAAATGCTGTCTAATATTGATTAAAAAAGTTACAATTATTAGCCAACATAGTCATCTTTCAGGCCCATTTCTTAACCATTGTAACAATCTCTTTCAAGATATGCACATATATTTTGACTGTGAGATTGGTGCAAGCGGTTCTGCTCAATTTAAACTGAAAAAAATAATATTTAGAATGAAATCACTGTGTATGTCACCTATATACTGCAATAAAAATGTAATCACTCCCAACTTCAAGCTCCTCCCCGCTTCCCTGTTCAATAGAACTTTTAAATAACAGACGCGGCACCAAAGCGGCTTTACAGAGACCCAGTTCCTAACTCAAAATCTGAGGGAGACATTAGCTGGAAAAACTCCTTTTGTGTCAAAATGGCAGATTCCTAACTTTGAATTAATACCACATTTGTAATTATGTTACATTTAGCATATAGCATAGTACAGCAAAGCAAAGTAATAACTTCACTTCTAGGGGTTCTAACCAAGATAATAGGATCAAACAGGAATTTCTGTGCCTCTGCTTTTGTTCTCTGATCTCTGACTCCTGCATGCAGACCAGCTAGGGCTGCCCGTGGAGGAAGGCCGTGACCTGGTGGCAGATGTGGAAGCAGTGATCACCTTCTACTGCAAGTCCCGAAATGTGACGTTCACTGCAGAGCTCTGCTGGCCCCACCTCCTTAAGCCCCTGCTGGGCCTACAGCTGCCTCGCAGTGACCTCTACAACTGCTTCTATGCCATTATGAATAAATACATACCCCGGTAAGAGTGTTTTCCAATGCCTCTGTTTAATTGCCTCCTCTGTGTGGACATTGAAATTTTGACCTGCTGCTTGGTGACCAGACATAGCTTTAGATTGCAGTAGCATAGTATTTATGTAGTCTCAAACTGATTATCCAACATCACTATCTGACTTACTATTTGACCTCACTAATGCAATCAAATCCTCACAACAATGTTCAAACATCTAGTATAAAGACTTCCCAGAAGAGTGGATGCTGTTACTGCAGCAAAAGTAGGACAAACTCCCTATTGACACATAATAATTCACATTATTATTATGAATTTCAGAAGAAATGTTGGAAAAACAAATGTCTAAAACTTTTGGAGATACATTGTATATTTGTGCGCAGAAGGCCCTGGACTAACGCAATGAAAATTTGTTCGAAATCTGTTTTAGGAGGCCTTTCAGATGATAATGTGTGCTTTAGCTGATTGCTTAAAGTCTGTTATGTAAGCAACAGGATAAAATGTAGGTGGATGTTAGATAGCAACAGTAGTTAATAATGGTGAAACTATAAATTTTTAGCAAAAGATATAGCATCCTACAAATTAAAGCAAAACAAACTGCTCCTTCCAAGCAGTGGTTGATGGAAACATATGTCAGCTGATTTTTCACTGAAGTTTGTGCAGAAGTGGGGTGCCAGGTAAATGTACTATTTTAGTAATAACATAATTAACGAAGTGAGAGTAGTGTAATTTATTGGTGTATAATTTATTTGTATCAGCAGATAATTGTTTAAAAAATGATCAGCATTGCATAGTATTTAGATTTGACCGATATTTCAAACCGATATTTGATGACGTATTCATTGTACTCCAGGAGAGTAAAATGTTTAGGCAATGCTGTGCTAAAAAGTCTGCGTTTGAATTGTTTTACTGTATTTGTCACCCTACAAAAAATGAATGTTATTTTTGGGGAGGTTCCTGAAAAGAGTTAGTCGAAAGGTCTGTCCTAGTTTGACTTTGTGTGAAAGAAACTCATGGTTTGTGTTATGGATGTGGATGTGCTCCATCTTAGAGCACCTGATCTAGTGTACCTTTTATGTGTGTAGGGACTGTGTGCCGAAGGGCAGGCCTTTCCACCTGTACAGACTCCTGTTGCAGTACCATGAGCCTGAGCTCTGTTCATTCCTGGACACCAAAAAGATTACACCAGACTCTTATGCCATGAATTGGGTCAGTTTCTTTTCTTCACTACTAAACACGTCAGTTCTATTATGGGTTGGACTGATTAACATCTACATTGTAAAAGTCCTTATACAGGAAACAAACCAGTGGCTGGTTTTATCCTTCAGCCTGAGTATTAGTAAAGTAATTAGACCCATGTTTTTGAAGTGCTGTCTTGTCCCTGGCTGTTTCTCTGCAGTTGGGTAGTCTGTTCTCCAGCCATTGTCTTCCTGAGGTCACCCAGGCCTTGTGGGATGTCTACTTCCAGCAGGCTGACCCCTTTCTCATCTTCTTCCTCATGCTCATTATTCTTGTGAATGCCAAGTACGTGAGTCTGCAGTGCACTGTTTAAAATATGGGTCTGGTTTCAGTATTGAGTATTTTGTATAATAGTCTGTGCTACTGTGTATAGTGATATTTTATTTTGTGTGCAAATCTAGAGACATGATTCTTGCCCAAGAGGGGGGCAGTAAAGAGGAGCTCATAAGTGAGTTCTTATAATGTCATATCCAGAGTACTTTAAAGTTTGAAGTGTGCAATACTGTACTAACACACTAAACTGTGCATGATCTGGTGTTTAGAAATGCTGGAACAGTCCCCTGCTTTGCTAGAGGCTGAGGACATTGAGGATCTGTTTTCACTGGCACAGTATTACCAAAGCAAGACACCCCTCTCTCTCAGAAAGGTGAGTGTTCCTCTTTCTCTTTCTTGAATGGTGCTTGTAGTATGATTAACTTCCCTGAAGCAGATTAGCTGGATTATGGTACTAATTTTATTGTGCCAGACTTAAAACCTTTGTGCTGCAGTGAATATCTAAATAATGCCACGAAGTATGTTTGTGTATGTGTATGTATGTGTGTAGGAGAACCAGAACCTGTTTGGCAGCAGTCTTGTGGCTCTGAAGGAAGAGGATATGGACCTGAGTCAGGCCCTGTGTCTTCCTGTGTCCGTGCCAGAGATCCTGCAGGCCAATCAGCTCCAACCAGTGAGTCCACAGCCCTTAAATGTTAAGGTTCTGTGAGCCATCAGGTGACTGACATAATGACTGAACATTTTCTCAAAGATAAAAATGTTTTATCTCGTTCAACTTTGGAATTAACATTTACTGACTAAATTAATCCGATTGTTACTGGCTCAGCTAACATCATTCTCATTCTGAGGGAACTAAAGAATCAGGGTTTTGTTCCTTGCTAAATCTCTGGACTGAGACTTTTATTTCTTTAGTCTCTGAATGACAAATAGTTTGCGCTGTTGCTTGCTTTCAGGAGGGAGTGCGCTTCTTCGTAGTGGACTGTCGCCCTGCAGAGCAGTACAATGCTGGACACCTGTCCACTGCATTCCATCTGGACTCTGACCTGGTAGGGACACTGGGTCTTTTCCCTCTTTTTATTTTCTGATTATTATTACATAATGAAGAGGTCACTGTAACATGAGCCATATTAACATTTGCTCTGTTTTAAACTGTGTGATTTTAGGACAGTTTTTTCCCTAAATGATCCTCTCCACATAAACATTTTCTTGTAGTTTTTATTAATAATAATCAAAATAAGCTTTGTATAGATCAATGCTAGATCAATTCAAGGGAAGGAGCACTAACGAGCTGTAACAATCTTGCTTTGGCTTATGCAACATGTTAAAATGGCCACATATTGCCAGCTGTACTGTATTTTCCTTTATCTATTTTTTTTTGTAGACAGCAGCCGCCAGTACAAATAATACTCTTCATGTCATGTCAACTTTTGCAGACAAATCTCTCTACAGACAAATGTTAATCAGTTGTTCTTTGCTTTCTTGTTTAATTTCCTGGCTATATTTTATATCCTAGTAGCTGAAAGATGGAATGGACTGACATACATGAGGACTTGGAAAGTGTCCTTTAGTCAGCAGCAGGCATAATTAGTCTGTTTGCTCTCTATTATCACTCTTGTCTAGTACTGAGTCACTCTTGTCTAGAGTTTGAGTTATTTAGTATTGTGAGTTGCAATTTCTTTGTTAGTCTACTGGTTCCTACCACATTGTCATTTTTTTGGCTACTTCTAGGCAAAAATAGTCACATGACCATTCTTTATAGTCTATTCTCTAAGTTATTTGCATTATTTATTCAGGAAGTGCATTTTTGTCATTTATCACATTTCTGTTGTAAAAGAATTATAGAATTGGCAAAAGATATTTATGTAATTTTAAAGAGTGTACAAGCTTTTGTGCAAAATTTGGTGATTTAATGTTTGCCATTTCAATCAAGTCGCATGTGTACTATGCTTCAATCGCATGTGTACTATGTTTGTACTGTGATCCTCAGATGCTGCACAACCCAGCCGAATTTGCTCTGTCAGTGAAATCCCTGCTGGAGGCACAGAAGCAGTCTCTGGAGTCGGGCTCAGTGGCCAGCGGAGAGCATCTGTGCTTCATGGGCAGTGGGCGCGAGGAGGAGGACATGTACATGAACATGGTGCTGGCCCATTTCTTGCAGGTCAGATACACAGCCAACACACGCTCTTACAGATGCATCAGGGCGCTGCAGTTTTCTACTAGATGTTCTGGTGGCATTAAAAACCCAGGCAGGAATTTCTGAAATGGCACCTCCTCTCTGAATTAACTAAAGGCATTTTTTTACCTGGTAGTGTGGTACAGCACAGTATGGTTCCCAGATTTATCTGTGCCGTAGTCAAACACCTGTGTCCATTTTCCATTGCACCTCAGAACTGTGAAAGTAGGCAGGGTTCTGTGGAAGTTAAGTGCGGTCACATGATTTCTCTTGCGTCAAGGTTAACAGTAAACATTAGCAAAGAGTTGCAACAATGGAGGAGCTGTAAGCTCTAATTTAAACTAATTAAATCTAATTAAAGGCTGGCCTGAAAGGTGCTGTTGGAACAGTATGTTTAGCACAGTGGTAATGTCTGCAGAATTTATGTCTGTTCTGTTGTCTCACTTCTGTCTGCCTTCTCAAAATAAACTTTGTGAGTAGAGTATTGTGTGTAAGTGACAACTACTTCTTCTGGCTTTGGCAGAAAAACAAGGAATATGTCAGCATAGCTAAAGGTGGCTTTATGGGTAAGTAACTACGATGTGTCATTACATGTGTTATTTCCTTACATCACATCGGTTTGTTCAAGTTCCTTCTGTTCATTTCTCTTCTGACTGGTGTACAAACATCTATGACTCTTTGTTAGTGATCTTGTTGTAGGCACTGCCAAAGACTTCATTGTTTAAGCTGAAACTTTTCAGTAGTAAAATAACATCCTCACACAGCAGTTTTAAACTATGAGCAGTGCTATCACAGTGAATAAATTACCGTGAGTAAATTACAGATGAGGGGTGAAGTCTTTTTGCTGTGTTTTGTCTGTGGCCAGCACTTCAGCAGCACCTGGCAGACATCAATGTGGAGGGCCCAGACAACGTTTATGTACACTGGATTGTCAGCACTTCAGGATCCCACAGCAGCCTTGGTTCTGCAGACGTGAGTCGTGTGTGTGTGTGTGTGTGTGCATATTTGCTTTTGTGAATGAGTGACAGTGATCACACAGAGCTGTGAATCTATCTCATGGGCACAATGCTTTGGGACAGTGTAGAGGAGAGCAGGGCACAACTTGAACACATTTTAGTTTTTGCTAATTAATTGTAAAAGTATTTTAGCAAAATTAAGATTTATAACAAGCAACTTGCACATCTCTGCAAAAAATGAAAACATAAACTTTGTTCCCAGCACCTACCACCTATGAATAATTCCTAAATGAGTGCACAAGTGCAGCTGTTTCGCGTTTCTTTTCTGTGCTGTCTGAGTCAGATACGCTTTCTAACCTTGATAAATGAAAATATATGCATTAAAATAAATATGATTTGTGAAATAACAGCAAATTATGAAATATACTGCATGAAAAACTTACACAAAATAGCTGTCTTGAATTTATATAGGGGATATATGGACTAATATATGGCTAATAATATGGAGGCTATACTTTAGCCTGGCGCTGTGAACTATTAACGTTCTTCCAAATGGTGCTACATTGCAGGCATCAAGAGGGTGGTCAAGAGTGTAGGTGTAAATTCTGTAACTTGTACACAAACTCTGTTTAAAAAAAACTGATCATTTAAAAAAGTTACTTTTATGGTACAAAAACCATTAATTGCTGTCAGAATTCACTGATTCACTGGGGTACACTGTGTCTTGCTCTTCTGCACCGAGTAGTTTTATGAGAGAATGTGTCCCCTTAATCTGTGACTTGGATGGAGAAAATCACAAGTGATTTAGTGCCACCTCATGGACATTACAAGTATGACAACAATATGTCTTAACTTTGCTTCTCTCATGTTTTTGGAAGTTATATCTGTCTTTTATCTTTCATACAGGGCGAGCTGAACAGCACAGGAGATGGCAAAAGCGTCAAATCCCTTGTCAACAAAATGACTTTTGCCCTCAAGTCCAAGTCAGTTAATGTGAAAGAGAAGGTGATCAGTTTCATTGAGAACACATCCACACCAGTGGACAGGTAAGAATCTTGTGTTTCTCTTCTCTAAACTCGACACATCTCAGTGCCCTAACCCCAGTTCTGCCTTTATTCTCTTACCTTATTCTCTTTATCCAAGGAAAAAGAAATGGTTTAAAGCCATAATCATTTTACATTTATTTCCTTTTCTTGAGATTTTGTGTTCTCCAGTAACAGTCCAATAATTCACAATTATACCAATCTATCCAAATAAAAATCTGTCGCATTAATTGTTTATTATTTTCAAAATATTTAATTTCCTGAACCCCTTGTGTGTTGTTAACCCCCTTCCTCCCCATTCATGCCCTGTTATTCTACACTAGAATATCTTTCACTCTGCCCTGGCCAGAGAAGGGGATACCTGATCGGTAAGAACCTGTACCCGTTTGTCTAAAACCTCACCAGCATGAGTGCCATCGGTGCCCTCGACATTCCCGTTCAGGGTGGCACTGCCTGGCCTGGCTCACCGCAGAGGGGCGAAGAGCAGAATCCAAACCCCCCTCCTTTACTCACGCATGCACTGTAGAGCACTAATACTCATGTGCATTCATTACTGTGCAGCTCTCCCTAGAATTTATTAGGCTAGATTAGATTTCCAGTGAATCTTCCTTTTTATTCCTTTATGAGATGTCCACGTTCTTTATCAAAACCATGTAAGGCTTACCCACATGCTTGTGTAGCGGGACAGAGATAAAAATAGGCTTGGGCGATTTGATGATTGCATTGTTGCAGTGTCAGTAGAGACGGTGAGAAGGTCATCGACACATTGAGGCTCATGTTAAGAGGTGCAAAAAAGGTCGTCCATGAGTTAGCGTGAGACTATGAAATAGAAGGAATGCACAAATGCAATCACAAGTTTTGTTGCAAAGATCAAAATGCTTGCTGCTGTTAGGTGCTACAGGAAACTGTAAAAACTGCACCACCGTGTGGCCAGATTTTAAAATGCATCTATTTTAAAGGTGACAAATTAGACCTGTAAATTTGTTGTTTTCTTTTTTCATAAGCGTTTTGAACATAAACAATGTCACCTAGAGCTGTCACAATTATTACATAATCACATGTATTTGAGGTGATCCTAGTTTTTGAGCACTTTTACGGGTGCTATAGTGTTTTTAGAGGGCAGCAGTGAGGTGACGTTTAAACACTTTTAAAGGACAACACTGAGTAATGTTAATTGTCATTCGGGAACTTCTAAGTATCGACAGCTAGGCAACAAGAGTTTATCAATCAATTTCCCCGCTTTAGGCTTGCAATTTAATGAACAATAAACAAAAAAGACCCTTATTCGTCTGTTTAAAGTTCACAGGCCTGATACCGATGCCAATAATAACAATAATGAATCGCCCAACCCTAGACAGAAGTATCATTCAAATAGACTGTGCTGAAACAGAAAGCTTCTCTAAGGGTCTTTGCTGTCATCGTCTTGGTCACTGTCGCTGTGCTGGCTCTAACATGGCTCTTCTGTCTCTCTCCAAGTTTTATGCCAGAGACTCCCACTGTGTCTCCCACTCTAAGCTATGAGGAGTGTTTTCAGACTCCTCATCTCACTCATTGGTCAATGTTAATGACCAGATGATGACCAAAGCTGTGGATGGTCAGTATTTTATTCTTTTCAACAAAGGAAACATCACTACTAAACCATGATGCCTGTTGAAGCATGTAGGTTTGCCTGACTCCACCACACTTTGGTTATCGTCTTGGATATTGCTGCTTTTTTTGTTTAACCTGAGTGTTTTCCAACTAACATTACTCACTTTTTCTTCTTCTAGATACACTGTCATTTTTAAATGTGCACAGCTGTTGTTTAGTGTAATGAAGATGTGTTTTTGAATTGTAGCTCCAGGGGTAGATTGTGTGTGTGTGTGTGGTGTGTGTGTGTGTGTGGTGTGTGTGTGTATAAGCTGTATAAGCTGTATGTGACTCGGTCATGCAATATTGTGTCCTTTCTACAGACACGTGAGCAGTAGTGATAGAGTGGGTAAACCTTATCGGGGTGTGAAGCCTGTCTTCAGCATCGGTGATGAGGAGGAATATGACACAGGTAGGTACAGCTAAAGGTGCAGAAACCAGAAATTTCTTCCCTAAAATGATGATAATGAAATACACTCCCTGGCCACTTTATTAGAACAGAAATGTACTGAAGGACTCGTGTCATGTAGCATGTGTCAACTCAATTCATAATACAAGCATATTTATGTACATATCTAATAATGAGGTTATATAAAGCATGGAAAGCTGCTCATGCTCTTATACTGTCCACTTGTTTAGCTGTTGTGGTTGTTGGACCACGACTTTGCAATGTGTTGGCCATACATTGTCATTTGTGTTCGCTTACTTGCATTCAGTATTTTTCTGGCCTTAGCATCACTTCACAGATATAGTACACTTTGCTGCCATACTACATAGAATGTATTGCAGTTATCATGTATAAATATTTGGCATCAGTTTACTAGCACTTTGCACTGAGAACAGTGCTGAGATTTGCAGAGTGCTGCCATGCATGAATGTCCTCATTGAAAAAGAAATGTTTTGACTTTAAGGACACTATGTGACACGGCACGTTCGCTATGTGGGGGCTTTAATAGGACCCCCTTTGCTTTCAGAACAGCCTAAGCTCGTTATGAAGGGGTTGAAAACATTCCTTACAGATTCGGGCCCATATTGACATGACTGCATCACATAATTGCTGCAGATTTTGTGCAGCTTTTGTTAGCTGCGCATTCTTGCTATAAATGCCTTGTTCTACCACATCCCATTCTAGCAAGTGCTCCAAATTCCACCAGAACTCTGTGGCATTCAGACGCTCCCCACATCGTTACAACATGTGTTGAGCTGTTGACACCTGCAGGTTGGATCCATGAATTAATTCTGTTTACACCAAATTTTGACTAGATTTCTACCACACGCGTGTCACAGCAGAAACAAGATTCAGAAATCAGACCAGGCCATGTTTTTCCAGTCATCAGCTGTCCAGTTTCAGTGAGCCTGTGCACAGTGTGGCCTCAGATTCCAGTTCTTATCTGACAAGAGGTGGAACCTGGTTTGGTCTTTTGCTGTTGTGTTCTCAAGGTTAGATGTGTTGTGCATTTAGAGATGCTTTTTTGATCACCACTGTTGTTAAGAATGACTCTCTGATTTGCTGTAGCCTCTCTGTCAGCTCAAAATAGTCTGGTCACTCTCTACTGATATCTCTCATCTGCCCACATAACGGCTGCTCACTGAATGTTTTTTGTCAGTCACATTTGTCAATCACATTTACTCCTATTCGTGTGTTTGGTGTGAACATTAAGCGCCTGACTGTGACTGCTGCTGGCCGCTGCCAAATGATTGGCTGAATGACTGACTAACTGCGTGTATAAATGTTCCTAATAAAGTGGCCATTGAACATGATAAAAATTGCTAAAAATCAATGTAAAATATATTGCTATTTATTTTTGTAGTTCTGACTTGTGAGCCTGTGTCTGTATTCTTAGCGTTCAAATGACAGGTTGTCCACTTTATTTTTGGTGATGTTGGTCTTTGTTTCTTTCCAGATGAAATTGACAGCTCTTCAATGTCAGATGATGACCGCAAAGAGATTGTAAACATACAGACGTGGATTAACAAACCAGATGTGAAGCACCACATTCCATGTAACGAAGTGAAGGAGACTGGACACATGTTCCCCAGGTGAGACTAAACCAAAATGAAATTTTGGGGGAATATTCCAACCTTTTTTTCCTCCCTAGCTGATCTTTTCTATTGTATCTCTGTTCCAGATGCTGAATAATAGTAATATTATTATTATTATTATTATTATTATTATTAATGGCATATGTATGTGGGCCAGGCATTAGTGATGTTTTAATAGTAAACTGTATCCTTTTGTCTTCCGCAGCCACCTTCTGGTCACAGCGACACACATGTACTGTCTGAGGGAGATCGCCTCTCGAAAAGGTTTCGCCTACATCCAATCCAGACAGGCCTTAAGCTCTGTGGTGAAGATCACCTCAAAAAAGAAGCATCCTGAGCTCATTACATTCAAGTTTGGCAACAACAACACAGCAGGAGTGGAAATCATGGCTGTAGAAAGGTTCTTACTTTTCAGAGACTTAGCTAAGCCGTGTCTCATGTTAAATGTGCATTACACTTTTCATATAAACATCAAACGTGCCTTGCCTTATTTTGAATTTTCAGTCTCTTGCTGTTAATTCTTGATTAGGTAAGATCAAATATCATCTTGAGTATCTACACTCAGGATTGTGATAATCCAAATTTTTTTCTTGCTATGAAGAGTTTTTGTTTATAGATGGTTACAGTTAAAAGCACATATTGAAATTATAATCCCGAATGAGGTTTAAACAGCTGAAAGGTCTGAGTAATGATGAGTGCTGACATCACAACAAGCCCAACATACATGGGCTCTGGTATTATCCCTGTCACACTCCCAAAAAATCGACTTAATGTGTTATTTTAGTCCAAATAAACTCTTTACTATGTTGATTTATTGCACATTGACAACACTGACATGCTCATTTTTTAAAAAAGCATTTTCATGTAAAAAAAAAAAGGCCTTTTTAGTTTTTTTTGAATACACATCCTGTCTAGAAAATGCTTTTTCTTTTCATTATGGGTCAGCGTTGAGGTGACAAACCTGAGTCATAGACCCTCCATTGTGCAGAGACAGACTGAGATAACATCTCCCCAGCAGAGAGGGAGAGCAAGAGAGAGATGCTCAGGCAAGATAGGAGGACGCTTATGGAAAGCATAGTGTTCTGTGCCACAGACATCTGTCGGATATGGATGTTTTGACTACACTTTTGTTAGATGTGCTGATGGAGAAATCTAAAAATATTTTATTACAATACTTCCTTACTTAACTGTCCACCTCTTTTCACTTGATACCTCATTGCTAATGTATTTATGTAATGAATTAGTTACATAATTAATTGCATTTCATTTATATTCTGATTTGACACGTTTGAGTCTGCACTGCTGACTTTCCTCGTGTCGAAAAATGACACGTGAACATTGCAAATAAAAAAAAAAGCTGAATTTCTCTTTAGCAAGCTGAATGAGGAAAAAATCATACAAAATGACACCATCCTTTTGTTATTATTTTGAATAACTGAGTGTTAAGGGTTATGATGATTGTCATAAATATAAAACAAACATAAATATAGTAACGCTCTTTCTGTTCTGCAGGTATTTGATACCAAATGCTGGTGACGCCACAAAGGCCATCAAGCAGCAGATTATGAAGGTGCTGGACGCTCTGGAGAGCTCATAGAGACGCGTGCAGTGCAGAGGCTGGACTCTGGCCATTACCGAAACTGCCACAGCTCTAAACCCGGTCAGCACAGCGGTGCAGAGAGGAGCGAAGAGGATGGACTGTTCCCACACTCGTTCTCAGTCTCTCTTCCTCTATCCCAATCTTCTCTCTCTCTCTCTTTCTTTCTTTCTTTCTTTCTTTCCTTCTTTCTGTCCCTCTCTCCTGACCTTCTCCCAGGACAGTACTGACGTTCAGTATTTGAGGCCCATGAGGACGCCATACTCATCAGATCGATGGGAGTTCTGACACACTCGGATGTCGAAAGCCTCCTCTCCTTAGCCTTCAGCTTTTGTTATTGTTTATATCAAGGAAATCTCACCCTGTAGGTAGAAGTCGGACCTGTTGTCTCAGTTCGGATATCTATGTCAAGCCTTAATCCTAATCCACTGTTTTTTACACAAGGGACTTGAGGGGGACCCTGGGGTGAGAAAACAAGACTTTGGGGTGTCCGGTCCAGGAAATGCTCAGTGTTTCTCCTCCTCTTGTTTAATTTATGGATATACTTGTTGTTTAGCCATTTAATTGCTGCAGTACATTTTTGATTGCTTGTTGAGAAGAGAGGTGATGTTTTATCAGAGCAGTATTTATGCCAGCAAGTAGGATCATAGGAGTTTAAGGCCGCTAAAAACATGTATATTCAGTGCTTTTGAGGGTCATGGGGGAGCACATAACCTTGGGGATCGTTGTCATTATGAATGGCTGTTACCCTTGTACTGTATCACGAAACTGCACAATACTCCAGGCAGCGTGTGGCACAGACACAGACGCGTGCACACAAGCACTCTTCAGATGCTCTGTGAATGTCATTTAAAGACCTTTCTGAAATCTCATAAATATAAAAAACCCGCTGATCACGCATTCCTCGTTTCTGTCTCACCCTGCTTGCAGCCTTAAAGAACTGCTTCATAGGAAGGGTCAGTGGGTAAATGTTTTGTATATACTGTAAATCTGCTTATGGATGGGCATCTGGAAGTTGTATTTATGGACGGACACAGAGGTTGCCAATCGCACTAACAAGACCAGCCTCAAGTGACGATCATATTTTGTAATTAAAGTATTTATGCTCAGGCCCAGTAACCACATTAAAGGCAAGGTTTCATGTGCAGCTGTATCGCACTAAGATCAATGATAACCGTTATATCTGCTCAACATGACCTTCTGTCATAACTCATATTCAGTGATTTGTGTCTTAACACATGATTCTGTTTGATGACCAAACTAGAAAACTGGCTAAGAAAAGGTTCTTTCTGAACGTGGGTTAAATGAATCATTTACTTTACAGTGTAATACTTTTTTCCATGTTCTGCCCCACAGTCTCAGCTTCAGAACTTTTACACTCAGTTTCTGTTGAAACCACATTACTGTTGTTTGTAAAATCTTTTGTTTTAATAAATTCAAAAGTAGTCTACAACTTTGTTTACTATTATTTGCAAATTAGCAGTTTTTATCTTTATCTTTAACTGTTTCCATACTTCGAGGCTGTTTACACCTTTCAGCATCAAGTTCAATTTCACTTGACCACATGAAAAGCCAGGTGTAAACACCTCCAGGACTCATTGGGCCTCATTCACCAAAAATTTAAGTTTTTTCTTAAATTTGTTCTTGAGAAAGGTCCTAAGACAAAGTCTGTCAGATTCATGACGTGTTCTTAAACCGCAGAATTGTTTGCACCTTTGAGCTTTAGAGTGTGCGTGCAATGTTTTTACCCAAGAACAAATCCCAAATAAAACACTGGTGAATGTCAAACCGTGTAAATGGGTTTATGAACACGTTTCTTCTGAGGAATGGTTGGTGAATGAAACCCATTGTAATTGGACCAGAATCCAAAGTATATCCAGATGTGATCAGGATATGAAACATGTTAATGCAAGCTTTTAGAACATTTGATCAAATCAAAACCCATCCATGCAGTGTCGTAATGATATTTTATTTTTTGGTTTATACTGTATCAAAATAAGTACAATGCATATTTACAACATAACACAAAAAAAAACCAAAATGTCTGTACAAAACCAAAACTGAATGAGCAATTAACTCTGAAATACTGAAGAATCGACATGTTAAATTTGTTCGTATGCATCAAAAGAGTTGCACGGCAGTATTACATTATTTTTGCTTGAAAATGAAAGATACAGTAGTTCAGTATTACTTGGAGGCTACATGACATCAGTCTTAAACCATAACCATAAATGGATAAAGAACACTTAGAAACATTGGCTGTAACCAAAAATGCTTACAATCAAACCTGACAAATGCAACCATTCAAATCAAAGTGTTGCCAGACTGAAACAAGTTGTTACAGCGAACAGATTAACAAACAGTATAATACTATGAATCCTATTTGGAGTAAAAGTTCTTTACAATCCAAAAATAGACCTGGTCCAGGTAAAAACAAACACAAAAAGAAGCCCCCCAAAAGATCAGTTTCTCTCAGTACAGAAAGAATGGCAACAGCTAAAAACAGGACCAATGTCAGCATTTCTTAAGTGCTGTGTCTCAAGAAATATTCAGTAATAAATCAAAAACGGCAAAGCACCGCTTACCCTAAGCTACAGTAGTTTGCATCAAACTAGGGGCTTGAAATGACAACCAGACCAAAATACACCCAATAAAAACAAAACAAAAGACATTAAGTGCATTTATCGGCATACTTTTAAGTGAAACTGAGCACTTGATTAAGCTGTACAATTCTCTGTGCAGTGTGTGTATGTGACGGACAGCACATGAGCATGTATGGATGTATAATGCCTGCGAGCGTGTGGCGTTTACTCGCCCTCCTCTTTGATGCGTTGCTGTTTGTTGCGGCGCGAGTCCGGCGCCAGGTCGAAGGAGAAGTCGGTCCAGTCGTCTCTTGGGGGGAAGGAGATGGTCTGGCGGAGGGTGAAGCGCACAGCGTCGATCACGCGCTCCCCTCGCGCCTCCGTGGAACCCACGCTGACCGTGGAGGCGCCGCTGGATGTGCGCAGGATGTGTGGAGGTGGGGAGAACTCCATGGTCTGCCGGTGGTCCATGATACCTTTCCAGATCACATGCTGGAACTCAGTGGGAATCTTCAGCCTGGACAGGTCCTGGAAATGCACCAAACGGTCACTGCACAGCACACACACATCCACCCCAATTCATGCACATTAACACCTTCACAAGCACTCACTGGCCACTTTATTAGAAACTAGGGCTGATACAGTTAGTCGACAACAGCGTCAATTGTGAAAATGTCAAAGAAAAGACGCTGTTTACTAATAAAACAGAACACTGAGATTATGCATGTCTTTCTTTCAGACAGACTGCAGTACACTACAGGAAGCACAGGGGGCGATACGGCTTCTATTGTTTTCTTGCACAGACGGAACTTTGAATGATGGTGCTGCCATGACAGGGACAAAGTGAGAGTTAGTTCTAGCTCTATTAGAAACACAGACCTTGTATCTCCACCCTGCTGGTGTACTGTTAGAGACTGTAAGGCTTCTTTTTTTTTTTATTAGCCATCCTCTAGCCCTTCATCAGTTGTCAGTTTCTGACCACAGAGCTGCTCTTGGCTGAATGTTTTTGGGTGGTGGACTGCTCTCAGCCTAGCAGTGACTCTGACACATACAAAGCCCAGCAGCTCCAACTGTCTATGCCACTATCATGTCAGTGTCAGTGCAGTGCTGAGAATGGTCCACCACCCAAATATCAGTCTGACCAACTACAACTGTAGTTGTGCTACAGTCTGTAACCGTCCACCTAAATAGTGAGCCTATAAGTTAGTTGTATCACATAAAGTAGCCAGTTAGCGAAAGTACAAGAGACGTGTAGATCCTAAGTTGTACACATTTACAAAAGAAGCTGGTAAAGCCTCACCTCTAGACTGTAGTTCTCAATCTGGTAGATGTTGGTGAGGCCTTGGGCAGTGAAGTAGTCCAGACAGGAGGAGCATCCCAGCCGTAACAGGAAGCTGAAACAGATTGATATATAAATGAAATTAGGCCTAAAAATGATTTCAGTAATACAAACCATAAGCAATTTAGGCCAGTGTTTCTTAATTGGGACACTCTGCCTTGCACAGTTTCAACTGTTCCCTGCTTCAATGCACCTGATCCAGCTCACGGAAGGCTTGATGATAAGGTGTTGAGCTGGATCAGATGTGTTCAGGCAGGGAACAAGGGAATAGTTGAAACTGCAGGACAGAGAGTCCACAGAAGCAGGACTGAGAAGGACTAGGGATGCACTGATCCAACTTTATCTCTCTCAATTCTAATTATGAGATTCTAATACTCAGGAAACGATGTGGTGTACCGACCTGATATTTCTTTCTTCTTCAATTCTAAATCTGTATACCTCATAATGTGCTGGTACAAGGGAAGAGTTTATTCCAAACATGATATTCCTATTTTAGGACGTTTTGGTAAAGGATTTATGAGGCACAAACAGACAAATGTTTCATGTCCAATCTTATATATATATATATATATATATATATATATATGCTTTGTAGAGAAACTCATGGTGTGTTTCACATCTGCAAAGAAGAACTTGTTTCATCTAAAACTAACAAGTTTGCCTGTAATGTGATCATTCATCATTATTCGTTGTATGTACAGCTTTTAGCTCCATTAATAAAAAAAACAAGGTGAGAATTTGATGTGTTTACATTTCGGAATGACATGCTTCCATTTTAAAGGGATTGTATCTAAAGAACAGTATCCATATTGGATCAGTCACATCTGACTAACAACCAATAGTGTTAATAAGGTTGGTATGAGTGCTGACAGTGTTCCAGTGTATCAGTGCATCAGTACACAGGACTGAGGTACTGTAAGCATGCTGAGGTACTGTAAGCATGCTTTAGAGGAGTTTAGTGGATGTGTACCTGGAAATGCTGCTGTCCATTGGGTAGGGTGGAGGGGGTGTGCAGTGAGAGGAGGGCACCATGGATAACTGAGGCTGCAGGGCATGGGTGGGACTCAGTGAACTCATGTCTGTGTTCATGGGGATGTGGCCGCTCATCATAGGGGTCACAGCAGGAGGAGGAACTGAAGCAGAGACAGATTTAAAGCAACTTTTGAGGACAAGCACCATTATCACTGTTATTATCAGCCACATTCAGACAGTGTACAACATATTAATAAATGAATTACGTCTCTATAATTAACAACACTGAGCATTTTTAAAAATAGTTTTTAATTGCTCCTTTAAACTGTCACGCCAATGATAAATTATATGCCTGGTCTGAACTACACTTATAGCCAATGGCGATGTAGGAGTGGATTAGGAAATAGTGGACAGGTGAGGTCAGTTTCACATGATATGACAAATACTGAGCCCTGGGGATTAGGAAGAGCTTTGTCTCACAAAGATCCAGTTCACATGCAAAAGGAAACTGACTGTCAGAGAGACACTGAGACAGAGTGGTACTCAGAGCCTGTCATGCTCAGACAAGCTCAGCCCCAATGGGGAATTGGGGTGGGGGACCCACTGAAGAAAAATGAATACGGACAATTACTGAAAGCTATTTTACAATAGGGGTTACAGAAGATTAAACACATAATATCAATTTAATTTAAAACTAAACCACGTTTAATATCCCTAGAACCAGTTTTCAGCTCAATTAAGCAACTGGCAGGCAGAGCAATGCTGTGGCTTCTGGGCATTTACCATGAAAACCAATAATCTGTTGCAAATACAACTGCATTTCAACTAAAATATGTAATAAATGTGTAATAACAATGCAACAAATGTTTTTATACCTTGGTTGTCCCATCTCCAGATAAAATGTGAAATTTGATACTTGTCTACACTCTTCAGTAAATTATTTAAAAACTATATTCAATGTGTCTATCAGTGCATTAATTCAGTAAAATATAGTAAATTCAGTGTATTTTCTGTCCATTTGGGACCCCATTTACTGAGCTGTGCCATCTTAAAGAAGAGCCTTACTGTCAGTGAGGCCTCCGGCCATGCTGGACGGGGTGAGGGTGTTGCGCTGCTGGGGGTTGATGAGCTGACTGACCGAAGGCAGCTTGTTGACCTTGCCGTGGGGGGGGGAGCTGGAGCCGAAGGCAGGCTGGGGGGGCAGGGGGCTCCTGGAGCAGAGAGGAGGACACGGCCTGTAATTCTGATCGTCTGACATATCCCATCTTAAACAACAGAAGAAGCCCTGCCATTAGTCACTGTTCACCCGGACAGCAGGGGCCGTGGTCACAGTGGAATAAACACAGTTTACACAGAAATAATGTCTTACTGTGTTTTCCATAATAAGTACCATCATTTAAAAAATGTGAGGAAAGCAAATGAGCAGATTAAGCTGAAATGCATATGGAATAGCCTGGTTCTCACTTAAATAGAAGAAAGTACAGACACAGAATAACAAAAGAAAGGAGACTTTTAGCTTCATTAGTGCTCAAGTTCTTATGGAACTCTGCACAGGTACAG